CGAGGCAACAGGGAGGGAGATGATCCCATTCCCATTTCCTAAAGAAGAAGAAAGGAGTGAGAAGGCATTTAATGTACAATTTATTTAAACCAGAAGTTATTTTGGTGGCGAGTTGCACAGCTAACACTTGTGAGGCCGAGCACAGGGTGGTGAGAAGAGACATTTTGGGGTATTTTGAGTAAAAATCCCCTTGGCTGGCCCTGACCCCTGTGCCATGCTGGATAGCCCAGCTCTTGGAGTCACTGCAGGGTCACACAAATAGCAGCTTGAATTCAGCTTCTTCGGAGTCCAAATCTCCCTTGAGCTCATGCAAATGGGCTCCAGTCAGGGCTGAGACAATTAATTCAATATGAGCTGGAATCTCAGAGCTCCCTCTGCTGACTCTGCCCGGGCTCACTTGGGCATTTCAGGGAGTTTTTGGATGTTTCCTGTAGAAACCAGAGGTGAGGGCACGTTTATTTAAATATAGATGGCTCTTTGGCTTTAATGCTGTGGCTGCTTTCTGAGCAGTTCCTGAGAGTGAATTCTTTGAGAGTGAGTTAAGTCTCATTCAGCAATTAAGTCTTATTCAGGTTAAAGAATTATTAGTGATTGAACTATGTAAGTATCATGGAAGGAGCACTACTATTGTATTAATCATTATTTAACATGTATCAATATTTACATATCTTTTTATTATATTATTATTATTATAGCAATTATTTAAGCTGAGATGTAAACCCAAGTTAATATCATAAAATCCTGTTACAAAACCCACCAAATTCCTTAAAGCCAGATGGATTTTACCTGTGCAGTTACTTCGTTTTCTCCAAGACCGCTCTTTCCTCAGCGCATTTTCCTTTCCCAGGCTATTTCCCCTGCTGGAAATAAAACCTGGAGCCTGCTGCAGCTCAGCATTTCCCTTATTCCACGTGTGTGTGTGTGTTTTATTCACAGGTTGGAGTCCTCGTAACCTTCCTCCTGCTCCTGATTTTCTCCTCCAGCGTCGTTTTCCTGTTCGTGGGCACGGCCTCGCTGGGGCTGTTCCTCAGCAGCACCTTCCCCAGCATGCTGGCCTACACCGAGGACATCCTGCAGTACAGGGGTGAGCTGGGATGTGGGAACACCTGGCAGGCTCTGGGAGTTGCTGGGTGGTCAGATCCCATCACCCCGAGCAGCTCCTTCCCTCCCCAGGGGTGGCCTTGGAAGCAGGAGAGCCGCTTTGGAATTGTTCATTCCAGCCTGGGTCCCGCTTTTCCCGCAGCTTTAGGGATCTCAGGCTCACAGAAGTGCTGCCCTAGAGGTTTTTACAGGGAGGATGTTTTGAAAACATCCTCAGATTATCAGTGAGCTGGAAACCCCCGAGTCTGGCTGGCTCTCCCAGGAGGTCTCTGCCAACCTCTGTCTCAGGGGCAGCGAGACAGAAAAATGAGAGCCTTTCCAGCAAGGAGCAACATCACCTCTGCCAACAGAGACAGGGGATAGGGAGATTTGGGGTTTTTTGGCTTAAACTTTTCCCTTTCTGCACCGCTGCAGGTGAGCAGAGGCATTTTCAGTGTTAAGTGGGGACGTACACTGAGGATTTTTTGTAACTCTTGCGTGGGGAGATCCCTGGAAGAGCAGTTTAAAGTTGACCCTGCTGGTTGTTCCACCTATTCCTGCCACCACCCCTTGCACTGTTTTCCTTGCAGGTTGTGCCACAACGGTGTTGGTGACTGGAGCTGGGATTGGGGAGATGGTACTACAGCTGCTGGTGGGGTCGGTGAGTAGGCACGACAGGCCAAAAACTGGCTGGAATTTTAAAGTCAAAACTTTAGTCCTGGTTTTGTGCAGCTGCTGGGAAGAAGCACTGCTTGCCTTTTGAGTTAGCACCCAGTGAAGCCCTCACTGAGGTATCTGAGTGCTGTGGTGATGGCTGCTCCCTCTCCCCTTTCCCTTCCCATTGCAGATTATCCACGATCGGGGCAGCTACAGTTTCCTGGTCTGTGGGATGATCTTTGGATGCTTGGCCTTCACCTTCTACGCCTTCCTGGTGTTTTTCCACAGGATGTACCCCAAGCCCTCTCCAGGTAAGAAAGCACCAGCCCCTCAACCCTGCTTTTGGGAATGAAAGGAAGAGCAGCACCTGCAGCACCGCAGAGCCAGAGCCCAGCACGCCAGCAAAATGCAAGGAAATGTTTATTTTACTGCTGCTTCCTCTCCCCTTTTCCTGCTTTGACTTGCCCACAAAGCCTTGGCAGCCACAACCCCGGGGTTTGCTTTCTTTTCTGTTGGAGAAGCGAGGGGAAAAGTAGAAATGGTCTGTGGATCTCAGAGAGAGACTGAACCAGGTTCCCTGTGCTGTTCCCTGGCTGAAATCCAGGGAACAAGTGGCTCTGCTATCCAAGGGCAGCTGTCAGGCTCTTGAAGAAAGCCTTGCTGATAAAGGGATTTCTTGCTTATCACCTCAGTCTGCAAAGGCTGCTTGTTTTTATAAGCACCTCCTACAAAAGGAGCAGAGCCTGACAGGGAAAAAACACGTCCAGGGGGCAGGAAAGGGGTGATGGGAGCTGTAGGGAGGGAGCAGGGGGTGGTCGGGCTCTGCTCCCAGGGAACAGGGACAGGAGGAGAGGGAACGGCCTCAGGCTGTGCCAGGGGAGGGGCAGGTTGGATATTGGGAGGAATTTCCTCATGGAAAGAGTGGTCAGGCCTTGGAAGGGGCTGTCAAGGGGTGTTTGGAGTCCCTACCCCTGGAGGTGTCCAGGTGCCCTGGGCTGGGGGACAAGGTGTGGATCAGGCACAGGTTGGACTCGATCTCCGAGGGATTTTCCAACCTCAGTGACTTTCCTTCCCTGACCAGTGAATGAAGCTCCTGTGGTGGGTGATGGAAAAGCACCATTCCTGTTTGGGAGGGCTCATGCACACCCCCTTTAGGCTCAGTAGAACTGTTCATTGAGTTATTTCGTGTCCATCCTGCAGAGCTGGACGATGCCTCTCCCGACAAAGCAGCAGTGACAGATGACACGGGGCAGTACCAGCGCTGAGGAAGTGGCCAAGCTCTACACAAGCAATAAACCATCCCCCTCCCGATTAAGCATTACTCTTGAGGATGATTTCACATCTAATGACTGAATCTTGCAAGTTCTCTGCAATCAAAAAGCACATTCGATTGGGTAAGTGAGAATCAAGGAAACATCCCAGAACACTGCAACGAGCTGCCAGTGTCACTTGGACCAAAAGGACTTTTAAGTGCCAGCCTGACCCTGTGGCTGAAAGGTGTGAGCAGAGAGGATTTCCCAGCAGTTCCTCCTGTAAAATGAACTTCCTCACCTGCTCAGGACGGAGGGTGGGAAGGAAGAGGCTCCCTCTCTGCTCCACACGTGACTGAATGTCTCCTGGCTTAGTTGCTGAATTGAACAGATTTATTTTTCTGGCCTGTAATGTACAGAAGCCCCTCGAATTTACAGCACAATCCTGGATTTTAATTCGTTTTTGTGCAAGATGGACTCGAGTCAGTGCCACCTCCATCCCTCCTCCCCACGGGGAACGGTTCCACACTGGTAGAGCCCACCAGCTGCACGTGGTAGCAGGCCCTGCCTGTATTTGCACACTTGATTCCTGTATATTCCACACTACAAACACTTTCACTAAGACAGTGTCTTACTCAGCATGCTCAGGCCTCTTGATTATTACAATCATTTGCTTTTCTTTTTTCTTTTTTCCCTAATTTTTTTTTTTCAAGAATGAGTTTGTGATGGGTTTGTTTTGCTCTAAGTAAGTCACTCCTTCAGCTGCTGCAAGTGGCAGTGTCCTTTAGGGTGGTTTCATTTCCAGCTTCCAACTGAAGCTTCCCCAGAGGTGTATTTGGGAGCCAGTCTCCAGCTGCTTTACCTGTGCAATATTCTCATCCAGGTGCCTTGTGTAAGGTACTCCCATAGCCCACGCATGGCCTGCTCCAGCTCCAGGGGAAGGACTGGCTTTAGAGGAATGTAAAGCTCCCAACAGCTCCTTCTTCAGTGAGTGATTGGACATGTTCTTCTTGCTTTGACTGCTGTATGTGGATGTACATATGTATGTGTGTATATAAAGCAGTGTTTAATTAAAGGTGATTGATTGCTAAATTCTCCCGTGCCTGGACTCAGGTAACTCCAGCTCTTTCTGGCCAAGACCATCAGCTCCTGCACTGACCAGTTTGGAAACTCAGCCTGAATTTACCAGCTCTTTTAATTTAAACTCCTTTTAGCACTTTTAGAATCCCAGAATGGTTTGGTTGGAAGGGACTTTAAAAGAACTCCTCATTTCACCCTCCTGCCAGGGGCAGGGACACCTTCCACTAGCCCAGGGTGCTCCAAGCCTGGCCTTGCATTAGGTTTAGTTTCATTAGAGAATCCTAGAATAGTTTTAATTCTGGCATGTGAGGCTCCTGAAGGATGAGCTAAACCCAGAGTTGAACTGCATTTACCTGTTCCTGCATTTGCTTAATACACTCACCTTCAGGTACAAAGTCACTTGAACTCATCAGCTCTTGAGGCTCTTTCCACAGGACCATCTGTGGGAGCTTGTGAAGATATTTTATGGAAAAAAATGCTTGGAAAAATGGAAGTAACCCAAAGAAATTGTGTCTGCTCCATCTCTGGAAGTGTCCAAGGCCAGGCTGGAGGGGGCTTGGAGCAAACAATTCTAGTGGAAGGTGTCCCTGCCCATGGCAGGGGGTGGCACTGGATGATGTTTAAGGTCCCATTCCATGGTTCTAGTGCTGCAGTTCTTCTCCAGCTCCACAGGATGCCACTGTTACTCTCCTGGAAATACCCCGAAGGAAAAAAGGGTGTGTGCACAAAACCCATTTGCAGCAAAAAAAAACCCCAAACCCCACCCCAATCTGTCCTTCCCAACTCCATCTCTGTCTCCACTCGAACCTGGGATGCTGTGAAAGGACTTTTTACCTCAAGCTCTGCTGAACTCCCTCCTTCTCACAGCCCAAGCTGCCCTGCAGGTGTAACTTTCTATTTCCTCTACTGAAAAAAAGTCAAAAGAGCAGAAACTTTGTTAAAAATATTTATTTAAAAAAATACAATTGTTTTGCATGTCTGGTTGCACATAACTATTAACATATGATTGACTTGAATAATTTGCTACAATGCTTTTTTAAAGCCAGCTTGCATTATACAAAGCAAATCCCTCTGTCAGTTCTTACATAAAATAGTTTTCTTTTAACTATTCCCACCCCATTTTTAAAAAAGATTGCAATACATTGATTTTATTTTTTTTTTATTTTTACTTTTTTGCACAAAAATTGAAGCAATAGAAAAGTCACCTGATTTCTCAGGAAAGACCTTCATGATGTTTGAATAACAATTACCAATGAGCCACTGTAAAAGCAGCATTTGAAGTGTCATTACAGTGCAAAGGAAGTTTTGCATCTTAAAAACTTTGCCTCCAAATTGCATTCAAACCTGAAATGTGTTCAAATAACTCCACGTCTGCTCTAATCAAGAGTTGATCAGACTTTTGTGGTATCAACATGCTGAAGGTCTTCCTAAAATGTTATCTTGGAAGGTTAAATAAAAGCAAAATTTAGTAACACTGAACAATTACTGAAAACTTTGGCTATTTATGTACTTGCATTACATACCAGCATTTTTTTCTTTTTAAACACAATGGCATTAAGATACTCTTATTATAAGGTATTATTTAAAAAAAAGAAAGTCAGACTGAGAAGCTTTTCTGTCCCAGGCAGGTCCACCCAACTGTAACAAGGACCACAGAGGGGTGAGGTTACAGTTGTCTCTAAAAGATCATGTCTAGAAAAGTCTCCAGTGTAGGAAGTTGAGACACTCACTACAACATAACTTGCTTTGTCTCTAGACTTGGTACTATTTATATATTTATAGAAAAAAAACCCAAATGCAATTCTGTTCGGGAAAGAGCGACTGAAAATGTTCTCTCTGCTGCTTCCAACGTCATTTTTACCACTCATTGTTGAGTTAAAAAATCACAGGAAGGTAAAACTGGATCCACTGCAGAGCTGAAAATCACCTGACAGGGAAATCTGCTCAGGCTGCTCCCAGCAGAGCTGTCGGAGCTGCTGGAGCCCAGAACTCCACAGCAAAAAAAACAACTAAACAACCCCAGGATTAGCCTAAAAATTCAACCACTAAAGGCCTCAGGAAGTCACTTCCCAGAACAGAACTGCACTGCAGAAATAAACAGGACAAAACTGGCCTGCCCACCTTCCCAGGTCGCTGAAGCTGCTAAAAATTAACTTTCAGCTTCCCTCCCCTGACTCTCCCAGCCCCAAAGCTGCCCAGGGCAGGTTCTGAGCCCGGGGAAGCTGGAGCAGTTGTGGGGGAGCCAGAGGAGCTGCTGTGATTCCCAAGGCCCTGGCACACGATCCACGCCTGCCAAGTCTCGGAATTCCCAAGGCAGTCTCGTGCTGGGTGAAGGATTTAGTCCCAGATTAACTCCAGCTGCCCCAGTAGCCATGAGGGGAGACAACCACCACCCTTACCTAGAGAATTTGCCCGTTTATTCAGCTCTGTTATTACAAATACACTTCTCAGCTATAAAAACAGAGGGGAAATAAGCATTAAATGTGCTACTGTACTTATCACAAAACACTGTGACGTACATAAGGCCATCTGGTAACACTGCAACAGGATACAAACAAGATCTGAAAAGGGAGCTTTTTAGGAATACAACTTTTGTTTCTTTTTTTTTTTTTAAACTACAAGGAAATAATCTTAACCCTGTTCACAGAGAATTAACGTCAAAACTAGTACATCATATATAGAAAACTCTGTGCAACTGAACAACAGCAGAACAAAAAGTCAACACAACTCTAGAAAGCAGTTTCCAAAGCCTGAAGATTTAAGACATGCCAGCCAAAAAAAAAAAAAAAAAGAAGGAAAAAAAAAAAGAAAAGAACAAACCACAACACATCTCAAGGAGCTTCGAGCAAACCCAGGTATTGTAACCCCCCACCCCAGCACACAGCACACACCAGGAACCATGCAGAGGCCACCCTCAAAAGCCTTCCTGTGTTCAAAAAATAAACCAGGAAAAAATAAACCCAACTGGGAAAAAAAAGTTAAAATAACAATTAAAATAAAACCCCACAGCTTCCAGTTATTGGTACAGCACTGCTGCATGTACTGCTCCAGGGCTGAAATGGGCTCCAAAATCACCTCCAGCCTCCCCTCACAGGTCACTCAGTGCCTCCATGAAGGTCCCTGTTCTCCAAAGGTCCAGCATTACCCTGTTCCACCCCCTGCCAAAACCAGTTTGAGATGAAAACCCTCTGCAATGCACGGTCTCAACAGAGAAGTGTCTGGAGTAAACAAGTCCAACCTTTTGTTCCGTGAACACAAAACTATTCAAAGACACGTTTAAGACACTTTTGTTGGTTTTTTTTTTTTTTAGGAGATGTGGCATCCACCAATGTCAGATCTGCTTTTAAAAATAACCTCTGGCATGACTGACTGGAGGACTAAAAGAAAAGAAAAAGCCCCTCCCAAAAAACCCCTCACCAGGCTGTGCAAAACATGTAAAAGTGGCAATTGCAGAGTGCAGTGAACGTGGCAAGGGGTATTTATACAAATTTGGAAGCCAGACTCCATGCTGGACACGTCCTGTCAGGCATGACACTCGTGTGCTCCATGCAGGGCTATTCCAGGCACGAGAAACCTAAAAAAAAACCCCAAGTTTTCAGCTCTCAGAGTGTGCTTCTCATCAGACAGCTGGAATAGCTCCACAGGCAAAAATCTTCTACCACGTTTTTTTTGGGAGGGGTAAACAGAAAGCAATTCTAGTCAGTTTGAGGAGGTTTTTTTCCCCCCAAGAAATAATGTTTATGAAGCAGGTATCTTGCTATTCCAAAAGGGAAATACTTCAACACGTTCATCCAAGAAGAAACACGGGCCCTGCCCAGCTTTCCTACCTGGCAGAGCCTGGTTCTGCTCAGCCCAAAACCAATCACCCTTCTGCAGTGAACAGATCCTCCTTATTTCTGTTTGTTCTTGGTCTAAAGGCAGGAACAACGTGCCTCAGGTCAAGATCCAGCACACACTAAACCCAAAGCTTCACCTTCCTGCTCCAGATGGCACCAAGTCCATCAGGGACTTTCCAAAGGAGCTGCTCCTGCGAACAGATTTGCAGGAATGTACCATCCCTGTGGCTTTGCAGCTCCTCTGTTGTACCCTCATGACTAAAATTAGGCTGTGGAGAAAGATCTGGTTCCATTTCCAAGAGTTCTTCTCTGGCCAGGACCAGCTCTTGCCTCCACGGTCAGCTCTACTCGCTCCAAGTGGAATTCCGTGTGCACAGGGGCTGATCCAAGGCAGAGCAGGAACCCCCTGGAGAACTGCACAGAACTGTCACTGCATTTTATCCTTCAATCTTCACCTGATTCTCAGCAGAGCAGCTCCAGCATGTCCCATATCCCACCATCCACGGATGGCAGATTTGCTGCCCAGACCCAACAGCCCCTGCCAATTCCTGTTCCATTAAATTCCAACCAAACCATTAAAAAAAAAAAAAGAAATCCCTGTTTAGGCAAGGTATCCTCATGAAACATCCTGAACAGCTTCTAAGCAACATGATTGCAATCCTCGTGGATTTCTGACTGACCTGCCAAGTGTGAGATCCTGGGGGGGCTCTTACAAATACCACGCTCCGGGATGTCTTAAACCAAACCAAACCATCCATCCCCACCCCCTCAGAGGCCAGAAGGTCTCTTTTCCCTATTTCTACTCTCACAGATCCACATTCTATTCCTCAACACGGGAGAGCTAAGAAATGAAACAAAACAAAACTCTTGTGGACACCCAAAACTCGAACAGCGAGTTTTAAAACGCCCGTGGGCTCCGACGACGCTCGGTAACTACGGCTGTAGTTGATTTTCAGAGCTGGCAATACCAAGAGAGCCTCTTGATACAACACTGAGATGTACTGTAAACAAATATGCCTTAAAAAATGGAAGAGGTTAAATCATAAAACGGGAGTACATACAAAACTGCTACAAAAACAGGAGCAAAAAGGTAACGAAAAGCTAAATGAATAAATCATGGGAAGCAAGAGAGTGTCAGAACTGCACGTTCTGACACGGGAAAATGCTGTGGAAGTGGAGCAGAACTCTCACCTGAGAAACCCATCAGTGCTCTAGGACAGCTCTGTCCTCCCACCTCAGCCTGCAGAGCTCTCACGTGAAAGCTGAAGTGACGAGGGAACCTGGCCTTGCTGCAGCTCAGGGCTGAGGAAAGCTGGGAAAGGGGGGGGTTGCACCCAAGCAGCCTTCCCTGTCCTTAGAATGAACGCTGGAAACACAAGAAGGATCTGTTTGTGAGAAATCTGAGGTCTGAAAACGCAGCAGAGGGAGGAAATTATCCCAAACAAGCCACTGAACAGGCAAAGCCTCTCTGTTCTCACACACCCCCTACACCAAAGACTGCATGGATCCAGAAGTCTGAGGATGCTCCAAGTTAAAGCAGCGACTTCTCAGACTCAAGGCATTTTATCACTTGCTGACCTACTGCAAAACACAGCTTGAATGTGCCAAAGACAGTGCATAGGAACTGCATTCAGCCACCACTGCTGACAAGCTCTGGTTCTGAAACAAGGCTCTGGGCTTGAGCTGCTGGTTAAAAAACCCCAATGTTCCTCCACCCCCCTCCTCCCCAGGATTCCCTTCCCAGGTGAGACAGAACACGAGGGAATATGAACCCATTCCTGCTTCCACGGGCTGTTTGTGTTGCCAGTGGCATCCTGAGAGTCCGGGATCTCAGCTGTGGCACACACAGCACCAGCAGGGCAAGGCTCCCAACTCTGCAGAAACAGCAGCAGCAACACAGAAAAGAGATTTCCAGAAGCAAGACAGATGCTCATCCAGTCCAATTCTACCACCAGCTACGAATGAACCAATGCAAATATTCCCAAGCATTCCACAATCCCTTGGCTACTCCAGGAACATCCACTGGCATCTAAGAAAAGGTTTCTGTAATGCTGCATTATCTTTTTTTTTTTAAGCCACCACCACAGTGCAAACTGCCACCATGGCCAGGAAAAGAGAACCTCTATTAATTAACCCCCTCCTGCCCTACAAAAAACAAAAAATGAGTTGCAAGGAGCTGCAAAGTGCTCCTGAAGTGACCTAGCAGAGAAACCAGCCCATCACATAACTGAGCCCCAAAAAGTCAGGAATGTGATCCAAAAAAAAAAAAAAAAAGCAAAAAAAAAAAAGCTGGCAGTTCCATACCTGTCAGTAAATGTGTGTTTAATCAGGCAGCATATATACAAGATAATATTCCCTTTAAGTGACCTGAAAGTCGTAATGGAGAAAAAGGCAGCAGAGCTGCTCCTCTCCTGGAGCTTCCTGGAGAAGAACAGGAGCCCAGGCTGGGTTCTCTCTTGCATACCTATGCTCAAAGTGATAAAAGTTCACAGAGAATTAAGTGCATGTGTGCACATACACGACTTTTAAACAAATAAAACTTGGCTTTTCTCCATAGGGGACAAGGAAAAGGGAAGCAATTAAATTGCAAGGGTTTTTTTTTTTTTTCTAGTGCTTATTAATTACTTTTAAATTCTAATCCTAGCCTGCAATGTTGCTCTCAAAAGTCCACACACTTGGTGGGCGTAAAATTGGCCAACCTAAAACAACCATTAAAAAAAGTGCTGCTATTTATACATAGCTATATATATTTTTCTAGAGCAGACTCAAAAGCCACCATGCAAACCAGAAAATTCCAGATGCCTGCTCTCAATTATCATCTGCAGCTTTGCTTCTGCATTAAAAATTAATAATAATAAAGAAAAAAAAAAAAAAAAGGTCAATATTGCACATTTTAAGAGCTGCTGGCACAGGAACTTCATCCTGCATCTTGCTGATGTCTAAATGTTGAAGCATTTATGCCTCTGACAGAACCCAACAGGAAGACAGGTCACTCCATGAGCTCACTCCCTGCTTCTCCACCTGAAGAAGGAATACTCTTTTCTCCCATTCCCACTGGGCAGGTGTTCTGGATGAACAATGCCCAGAAAAAGAAACCAAAAATCAACCGTTCCACCCACCTGTCCCAGGTGCCACGTCAGGAACACACAAAGTGGTTTACACGTTTCAGAATACAGGAAGGTGACACCACCAAGGAAGGAGAAGTCTCAGGCGTTGTCAACACCCTCTGAAAGTGAATTCCAAAGCCTGCAAAAAAGTGGCAAAGGGAAAACTCTGGAAAAGCTTGAGTTCACCACTCCTCCGTGGAACAGGGTGCAGTATGTACAGCAAACACTGCCAGCTCCTCTTGCTGCCAAGGGACCATCTTCTGCTCCTGAAAACTCTGCAGGCAGCCAGGGGAGGGTGCTGAAGGAGAGGGATGTTCCCACCTGTTTTCTACTGGGTATTTTATGGAAAAGATTCCCTTCCATCCCCGTCAGCAGAAGTTGCTGCCTGACATCAGATGCCCCAAGTGGAAGGAGGGCCCAGCACCCACAGACCAAGACATCCAGACTCTGAGGGTCTGAGAGAGGAAAATCTCCCTCCTTTCACTCCTCAGTTCTCTTAAAAGGCCTCCTGAGGTGTAAAAAAAAAAAAAAAAAAAAAATCTATCTACAAATTTTGTTTCGTCTCAAATGGCTCTGGAAATGAATCCTGCATTATTAATCCATCCACACCACCAAGAAAAGCAATGCAAGAGCAGATTTACAACGAGGTCAGCACACTGTGGAACCCCCTCAGGTGGCTGGACACACTGAGCCTGATTCTGGGTCAGTGCTTCCTCAAAAAAAACCCAACAGCTCTAATGCAAAACTCAAGCTAAGAGCTGGTAGAAGAGGAGCTCCTCCACTTGTGGAAAAGCAGGAAACTTTTCCAAACCTGTGGGAAAGAGCAGTAAGGTTAATGCTGGGACATCTGTGCTCTCACCACTGTTTGGGTGTGGAACTCCAGCACCAGGCAGCAACCTCAGCACAGGCACCCCCACCCCGTCCCCCAAAACTTCCGAGGAAAATCCACCATCCTGCTCATCCAGCAGTGAGATCCCAGGCTCTGGAACAGGTCTCTGGCACGAGAAATGTTTGGACTTCAGCATTCAAACTTTCTGAGGATCGAAAGGAACTCATCCCACCAACTCCTTTCCTCTCTCCAGACCTCACCTCCCCACCGAAGGGAGGGCAGGGGAGCATCCAGGCTCCAGCCAGACCACTCCTCCCGGGGGATGCTGGGCCGGTGGGATGCACCACCATTCCCAAATTGTCCGTATCTCAGCACATGAAGCATCGAATAGTCCTTGAAAATTTTCTCCCTGCAAAAAGACAAGACGTTTTTTACAGCAGAACAGACCAGGCTGCTTTTGTTGCTGCAGAAGTCCCCGTTGCCCCGAGGCAAAGCTGGAGTGCACACACCCCTTTCCCCAGCATTTCCTGGAATGCCAGCTTCCATCCTGATTAGGTATCTTCTTGCCAAGCACAGGAAGCAGAAGAACAGAGGGTTTTTTTTTCCCCAAAAAGTCACAGAGAAAAGACTTCCCTGACACTGTTTACTGCAGTCAGTGCAGACTCAGCTGCTGCAACACCAACCAAAAGTCCCTTTTGACCGTGTGAAATCTTCCAAACCAAGGAGGGAAGAGGACTGGAGCTGCAGCTCCTATTAAGGCGTTTGCATATACATTCCCAACCTGGGTTCTTCAGAAAAAAAAGGGAATTTCGTGGAGAAAAAAAAAAAAAAGGAAAAAAAAAAAGGCATTTTACTTTGGAATGGGAATGGCGAAAAACGATGACTGTTGAGAATCTCTGTGTGGAACTAGAAATTGCTCATTTTAAAAAAACGTGGTTAAATAGAAGTGTCCCATCTTTCCCTTGCTTGCCAATGTGTCCTTTCCCAAGAGTTCATGTGCTATGTCTTCTGGAGGTCAGGGGAAAACGGGCCAGGGGTAGAGGGTCCATCCAGTCCAGACAGAGTAAATGGGCCGTGACTGTTCAGCACTGATGGAAACTAAAGAGACAAAACAAAAATGATTAGGCAAGAGGCCACTTTAATTCACTGTTCCTCCCATATCTGTGCAGGTAGAAGCCTCACCCAGGGGAAAAAAAAATAAAAATCAAACCCAACAACAAAACACATCAAAGAAAAAACACCCCAAACTTCAAAGAATCCTCTTGGTTTCCACTTTTACTTATTTTAATGCCACTGCAACCACTGTCACAGCAATCCCTGAACTGAGCACTGCCCGTGTCCTCAATTAACAAGTGGCTTTAATACAGGTTGTTGGGAAAGCACAGGTCTGAATAGTCCCTCTGTTAATTATCAGCTATTTCTAGAGAAAAATGTCCAGTGCATTGTTTATTCCCCCTGTGCTGCAGTTCATTGAAAACACTTCTGAACTCACCTGAAAGAGGGTATTAGCACCTTGCAACCTGGCAGGACTGAGAGGAGCCACTGGGCTCAGGGTACTCCAGAAGTGGATGCTGGAGAGCAACGGGCTGGGAGTCAGCAGGATGGGAGTCTGGAAGAGACAGGAGAGCTGAGTGAGACCCACCCCTGGAGCACATGGAAACCCAGCCACAGCCACCTCAGCTCCTGCAGCTGCCAGGGCTGGCTCCCAGCGTCAGGAACTCCCATTCCCTGCTCCCCCTCCCCGGCTGAGCAATCCGCCCTCTTTTCCCAACAGCTGCCAAAAATCCTGCTGGAACCTCCAGCAGAGCAACTCAGCCTGCAATCCAGCACCCAGCACCTGCAAGGGCTTGGGAAAACTGGGATTAGGAACCCAAAAGGAGCAGACAGCGGGCACAAGCCTGGTCTGGGTGACACTTGACAGTATAAGTAACAATAAAACAAGTTTCCATCCAGCTTCTGAATACTCTGGATGCTCCAGGTTCCCCAGCCAAACACTTCCCAGGGTGCCAGAAGAGCAATTCCACTTGCTTTTTCCCCACTATCTTCAGCCATTTCGCTTTTCAATCAGCAGCTTCCCTACAGCTTCACTCTAATTCCAATTTATTACAGGAAAGAGATTAAATAGATACAGAATGATTTAACAGCCTAGTTGGATTCAGTTCTCTTCCAAGTTTTCCATGAGACATAAAAGCTTTCCTTTCCCACACAAAGATAACAACCAAATTAAGCAGCTGCTCTTATTGCTGTTCATGTTCACTCACAAGACTCTGGCCTTAACTAAATGCCTATATTTGAGTAAAAAAAGCTGCCAAACAGACACCTCTCTGCTTCTCTATTTTTAAAGCATTTTCAGAACCAACTGAAGGATAAGGGCAGGGTTTAGGGTTTCTGAAATAATTCAGTTCCCCCCCTGGCAAGGTTTACAAAGGATCCTGCTGGTGCTGGTTTGGGTTTTGCCTCCACATGCCAACCCTGCACAGACGTGCAGGGCTGACACACCACCTGGGCACCCTTTTGGGGTGAAGTTAATACCAACTGTGAATAAAACTTAGGTTTTAATTAAAAAAAACCCAAAAAACAAAAAACAAGGGGGAGGGACATCCTGGGTTTCAGAACACCACACACAATGAACCAACTATTCATTTTTCCACTTGCCTTCCCTTACTGGTTTAAAATGTAACATAATCACCATTGTTACTTTAAAAAAAGAAACCAGGAAGGGAGTTGGGTTACCTGAGAGAAAAGTGCCGGAGTAAGAGAAGCAGTTGGGAGAGAAGGACTCAGAATCCCCAGGGGACTTGGATCGCTGCCCGTAATGACGAGAGTGGGAGCCAACTCCAGCCCTTTGGGTTTTTTAGATCTGGAGAGGTGATTGGCAAATTCCTTCTCCAGCACGGATGAATCCTGCTGCTCTTTGGGCTCTGGGGATTGGTGCTGAAGGCTCTGGGCCTGCTCCAGCTGCTGGGAGGCCACGGACTCGATGTCCGTGTCAATGTCCAGGTCGGGGTTGGAGCTCAGGGGCGGCGACGGGGGCGTGGAGGGGACCTGCAGAGTGGGAGACACCGAGGACATGGGCGGGGTGGGGGTGAAGCTGGTGGTTAAGTTTGGCAAAGGTGCTGGAGCCTCGGGGACGGTCAGCTTGGGCAGCACGAGCGTCTCCAAGGTCTGCAGGGTCTCCTCGGATCCCACGGGGAGGGAGGAGGACGCGGCGGGAGCGGCGGAAGCCGCGGAGACCGCCGAGGTGGTGGAGACCAGGGGGGCCGAGGGGGGCTTTTTGGAGGGCATGGTGACAAACTTGATGACGGAGGGGGTCGGCTCCTGAGGCTTCTTCTCCGTCAGCTTCTCCGCCGGGTTCTCGATCTTGATGGAGCGGAAGAGTTTGACGCTGGAGCTGTTGAGGGAGTTGAGGGTGAAGGAGGAGTACAGGCCCGAGTGGATGTAGTCGTTGCGGCTCGAGGACTTCGCGCACGACTGGGACTTCTCCTTCCCGCAGTTTTCCACGTCCTTTGGAGCGCTGTTGACCTCTCCAAAGCCGGTCAGCTCGGGGTCCCCTTCTATCCGGCCCACGACAAGCGGGTCCATGTTTAAAATCTCCGGGTACGAGACAAACTTGTACACAAACTTCTTACCGTTCACTTTCTTAATGATATTCTGTGGGTAAGAAGATATATATATATATATAAATTTAGACCTTCTTCAGATTAATTTTCTTCCTACAAACACTGCCCAAAATAGGCAGAGGAATTAAAGCCTGTAATCTTTCATCAAAAAATGTTTCTTTTTCCTGCCTTAAAAACACACTGCATTCCTGCAATTCAGTCCTGCTCCCAGAGCAGCACTCCCAGAGCTCACAGACAAAACACCAAAACAGGTGAGCTTAACCTGCCATTAAATACACTAAAAACAGCCTAAAACCTGACGATTTATTCTTATTTTTAAATAAAATAAAAAGTTACCCATTAACCCCCTCAGGGATCACTGACCTGGGTACAGTCAGGGTAACCTAACAGGAGAACCTGCAGTATTAAAGGGGTTCTACAGCTTTGCAGAATTGAGAGCTGGTACTTCTAATCAAACCACTTTTATCCTTAATAAGATGATAATAAAGGAAAGCAAGTAGCTGAACTAGTCAGGGGAATGCAGGATAATCAGCTATTTCAATACCACAAAACAGCATCTGTCAAACTTGTTTTGCTCCTCAGCGAAATGCCACACGCAATTTGGGCTTCAGATTATCTCCATTTATCATGCAATTATTATTACTGAGATCTCTCAGCACAAAGCCAGATTTGTGCCACCCAACAATAAACACCAGTAACTTACCACCTGCTACCCACTGAGGTTCCTCAGAAACTGCTTTATTTTTATCTCCCACACTGGCACAGTAACAGTTGTGGGATAAACGGCTTATTGAAAACCAAGGTAAGTCTTGAAGACATTTTGCTAAACAAGAGAAGCTTCTTACTCTGCTGGACTGGAATCAGTCAGAGGTGAAATTCTGAACACACAGAGAAAAATAAAAATACTTTGGGGCTGATTCACTGAAAATCCTTATTTTGAAGGTCTTTTGTAGAGACAACTGCAGAAAAGATCTTAAGGTGGTGGAACACTCACCACCTCAGTCATCATTTCCTAGTGCTGCTTTACCTGGAGTGCTGAGGATTTTAACCCTTGCAAGGGTATGCACTTTTGGAAAGGGGATTAGGATTCCACAATTCCCACACAGATTTGTGTCAGCAAAGACACAAAAGATAAAACTTTGCACTTAGAACCTTATCAAATAACCAACAGGGAGGAACCCCAGCACAATGATACACAAAATTAAAAAATAAAAAAATTAAAAATCCCCACTTCTAAACAAACTAGTACAACTTCCTCAAGCCTGGGAGGAAGAGGAGTGACACCCACCCATCCCCTTGCAGGGGATGGAAAAGGAAACAAAGCCCATTAAGGCTGGCAAAGATGGATAAGGATTGGAGGGGGATTTGTTACCTTCACGTAGTAGTATCTGAGCGCTCGGCTGAGTTTATCATAGTTCATGCTGGGCTTGTTCTTGCGGATCCCCCACAGCCTGGCCACCTCCTCTGCCTGCAGCAGCTTGAACTCCCCGTCGTTGGAGGTCCAACAGATGATGTTCTTGTTCTGAGGCTCTTGGAGGAGCTGGAGGAGGAACTGCCACAGGGTGATAGCACTGTCCATAGCAATGAGCTGAAAGGCAGAGAGGCAGATAATGGGCAGGTTAACAGAGCATTTCCCTCCTCTCCCTACAAGGGGGTGATGGAGCTGAGATGTTATTTCCAAAGCCAGCAAGAGTAAAAATTATTAGTCACCAGTCGTGAAAGATGTTCCCTGCAGAACAGAGAGGCTGAGTGCCAACTCTGTCGTCTCCTCCCACATGTCAGTACTTTTCACATGGGTTATATTTAGCCTCATTTAACTAAATCAGGTCACTTTGGGTAAGTTGCAGTGAGTCACTACCCCCAAAAAAATTTTTTTCTAAGTTGTTCCATGTTCACCCACTCTGGCTTGTACTGCTTTATGAGAAACAGCTCAGGTACACCCAGGTAAAAAAAAAAAAAAATTAAAAAAAAAAATCAAACCTCCCACTCACCACCTCCTTTCCGTACCTGCCCCCACCTCCAACCTCAAAAACAGCAGATCAAGTAACTGCAAAGCCCCGGGAAGATGCCAGAGCAAAACAACTCCATTTTCCTTCAGTTCACACTTCTGCCTCTTCCTCATCAACCCCACTCCCCTCTCTTCCCAATCTTTCCAAGTATCATCCCTGTTTTTCTAAAAGAGTGTACACATGAAAGCAAATAAAATTATTTCAAGCGCTGCCTTTGCTTATCTCAATTCCTGCCATGCCTTACCTACACCGGTGATTTAGGCTGAGGCTTTCTAGGACTAACATCTGCCAGCTGATTCCTGAACACCTAGAGCACTTTTCCTCTCGATGTATAAATTCACCAAGGACAGACAAGGCAGAGAGATGTGATTTTTCCTTGACCATATCTGACTACACAAAACAGTATTTCCACAAACATTTTTAAGCAGAACACTAAGAATTCTGTCTGCACATAAGGCACAGCAGACAAAATATTAATTGAGCATCTCACATGGATTCTCTTAGTTCAGAACTGTGACAATTAATGCAGTTTGAGTTTGTTCTTGTGAAATAAAAACAAACCCAGGTGCTCTGGAATAAGAACCACCACACTAAAAATGGTTTTATGTGTCAAATTGCTATTTTTTTTTTCTCCTCAGAAAAGAAAGCTAAGAGTACAGGGGTTTCTATCTGGGTGAATCCACAGCCTGAGAGCCCAACTGCTGTTCACAAGCAGAGGCAACAAGTCCAAGGACTTGTTTGAAGTCCATGTGTACACAGGGCTCAGTTTAAGATCCAGCCAGGACTGCCAGCTCATCTTTGCTCCTAAAGCCTTTTATTCCAATCTCATTACTGCCCAGCACTTATCCAGCCCTATATAAGGAAGGGAACAGTCTTCATGTGAGAGCCTCAGCGTTCAGTGAGCCCTGAGAAAGGATTACTGGCAGTTTACACAGGGCTTATTGAAATCAGGTGCCCCGGGGCAGGTGCCTTTTTGGGCACAGCCCATCACATTTAACCTGTTTTGCAGAATCCCTGCCCCATGGCAGGCTGGGTGACTCCACAGGGCTGTGCCATTGATCAAGCCAGTTTAAATTGCTGCAATTACAGGCAACAATCTCAACCTGAAGGACACCCACACCACGTTGTTATGCTGGCCTAAGGTGCTTTCCCTGTTAATTACCGCGCACATACAACTCCCTGCTTGCCCAAATTAATTGCTCGGCACTCTAAGAAACTCAAGGCCGTGCTTCCAGACGCTTCCCATGGCGCGCCAGCTGATCCACACGGGATCAGCACTTCCTCAGAGCTGCCTGGAATGCCCATGTGCCAGTTCCATTCCCTATCTCCGAGGCCGTGCCCGCTGCGGATCCTCATCCACGGGGACGACGCGCGCGCCTGTGCTGTGCAGGCACAAGGATCCGATCCCACCACCCTGCAGAGCTGTCAGTGCCAGTGATACGTGCTAAGAGAGAGCAGGAAGATGAAGTTGAGTGATTATTCCCACGCTACATTTATCTCCAGCACTTTGGGAGCCCAGATCAGCACTGCACCAAACGGGCTGACTGATGCAACGGGAGAGGCAGCCACGTGGAAATCAGATTAGCAACAGAATTTTGGAGTGGCAAAGGCTTTTTTCTTTTTACCTTTTTTTTTTTAACCCCTCCTCCTAAATATCCATGCAGATGGCATCCCAGAATTTAACTGCTATTATTTCATTAGCTGCTTCCCTTTAGGAAGTACCACCTCGCTGTAGCTCAAAGCTCATCAGCCTCTATCACAGCCAAGCATCCAAACCTAGGGTTGGGATCACAGCTGGTTTGCAATCCAGCTGGAGATGCACAAAGCTGACACAGCAGCACTCCTGACAGCACAAAGGTCAGTAACAGGGCACACGTGGAATGGCCAAAATTCTGGGAAACACAAGGTATTAAAAAAAATACACCTTTCCTTGCATTGAGCTGTGTCGTTCTGACGAGCATTTACCAAATTATGAGTTCATGCTGCCCAAATCCCAGAGTTTTCCAGCTGGAAGGATCCTTCTCCCAGGGGCAGAGTTACAGACTGTACTGGAGTGTTACACTGATCAAGCCCCTACTGATGTTTCTGGCTTTTACAGCTTTAGGGGTGTCACAATTTTGTCCATCATTTGGAGGACACCTTGAGTACCCTCAGCTTTAAAAAGTCCTGTATTAGACACATTAACAGGGTGGAAAAGTCTTACTGGGACCTTGGTGTTACAAGACCAGGGGCAGAGAGCACTTTGGAATTGTTCATGGATGGGCTGTATTGCACATATTCCTCTTTATTCAATATTTACTGTGTTTATGTAGAGGAAATGATCCCTCAGTGGAACCTCATGGGTACCTCAATGGAACAGGGAACACAGAGTTTTCTGAAGATTTTACACAAAGGGAAGGCCAGAAAACAACCCCCCATGGTGGTCAAAGCAATGGGATCACAGGTGGATCTTCAGACTCCAGGAGCAGCTGGAGAACTGGGAAAGTGTGATGTGTGTATGAGAGACACCCTTGTATTGTGAACCAAGACAACTCATTTAACTTCAGTACAAAAGCTGCTTTGATGCAGCATAAGAACACATCAAAGAACCCCTGTTTCTTCAGGAAACAGCAGAATATAAAAAATAAAATAAAGAAATCACACAAGATGTAAAATGAAAAACCAGTAGAGGCGAGCTGAGCACTTCTCTTTGTTTGAGAACCAACGAACATGTTGAAAAGGTTCCTCCTCCTCCAGCACCTGGGGCAGGAGGAGGCAGCTGCTGCTTCTCCTGAGCCTTTACCTTGCAACCACAGGGATGAGAAGGGGCTCGAGCTCCTTGTGCTTGAGATGTTTTGCAGAACATCTTCAGGTGCCCTGGAGAGGGGGATCCACATCATGGCTCTCCTGCTCTCAAACCCCTCCTGCACTGACACAACTCAGAAAATCCTCTTGTCCTTTTTATCCAAACATATACCAAAAAGAAAAAGCCCAAAACTCTGCAGAGATGCTAAAGACCCACTAGTTAGAAAATAAAGAAATCAGGATGAGCACAGGAACCCACTGTCCCACTCCTACCCCACACACTGACGACGCAAACAGCATTTCAGCTTCTTTCAAATTCCATGAAAAGGCCCCAACCTCCTCGCACAGCTCCCTGTCAGCTTTTTCTTCCAGATGAATGCACCAATAATTACAAACACACCACTGCAAGCCATCTTCCTGCTGAAGGTTATTTTCGTGGAGAGAGGAGAAGGCCTAAGCTGAAAAGCCAACGAGGGGACGAGGCAGAGAGGCAGCACTGCTGCTCGTGACAACGGCCTTGCCACTCCTGCACCATCTGAGCAGAGGAAAAAATAGTTGCTAGAGGCAGAGGGCAGTTATACTTTGTAATGAGTATGCTAAAATAGAGCACTATTATTGTCTTGAGATCTTCTCTGACGCCTACGGATGACCCTTGAAGTTCACCGAGGAGCTGATGGAGTTTGGCTGCAAACCTGAGCCTTCCCCTGCTGCTGCAGCTCCCTCCCAGGCTGCTGCAGCTCCGAGGCCTTGCCTTCACAGAGCCTCAGAGCTCGCAGCAGAGCCAGGACACGAGATAGGGATCTTTTCCGGTGACTTCTCCTCGAGCATCTGTGCCACAGCCACAACCAGCCCCGCGTGTGATCACAGAGCCCCGGGCCCTGCACCTCCTGGGAAGGAGGGGGTGCAGTCAGGGGTGGCACAGCAGGCAGGAGGAGTTTAGGAAGTGGCACGTGGGAATCTCACCCTGATCTCACCCAGCAGCTACACTCAGTGTAACCAAATTCCCTCTGTGCTCCAGGAGGGCAGGCACCCCTCGCCAGGCCCTGAGGAGGGGGCAGGGGCAGGATTTGGGGGGGCTCAGGCCTGGCCTAACCCCCAGCACGCTCGAGGTCTTCTGGCAGATTTCCTGTGCTTTGACTCGACACCGAGTAATCTTTCACCCCCATTCGTTCCAGCAGCCTCTCAGCAGCATCTGCAGCCTGATGAGTTCTGCAGATGGGCTGAATAAAACCCACACAGGAACAAGGATGGAGCAAAGGAGAGGGAGGATGTCACACACCACCACGATTTAACCGGCTGGGTCACAGCTGTCACACACAGGGACGCCTCAACAGGTGACACAGGGAGACAGAAACCTCTTCTCAACTCAAAAATACAATGAAATGAAGGCAGCAACAGGTCTGGGGGACCTCACAGTGGCACAGGTGACACATTCAGGCGAGCAAATCAAGGCTTCAACTCCAGGAAATTCCAGGAAATCCGGGCTGGCTGTGAGCACAGCGCTCTGAACTGGTCACACTTCACCCCTGCAGAGCCATTCCCGGGGTTTCTCGGCAGTCTGAGATGGCCACGGTGTGTGAGCAGAAGGAATTTGGAGACAATAACTCCTGCCCCGTTGTGCAATGTTCCTGTGGACACAGGGCCTTGAGAGCTGTTCCAGGAAAACAAACAACGGCGCTGCTTGGAGGAGACTTTTGGAGGTCGCGGGCCCGAGTCCAGGCTCCAAACCTCAAAATCTGATGAGATTTTTTTCAATGTCTTTGTCCAGGCAATTAAATAAATTCATAAATAAGTGGCTGCCCTAGCCCTTTTATTCCAGCAGAGGGGCAGGGAGGTGGGACACGGCTGATGAAGTGTCTAATTAAGTGCTTATCAAAACACAACCAAGCAACCATTTCATTAGCACAGCACTGGAAATACCCCGTTCCTAATAAACCTTTCACAAAAGCTTTTTCAAGCTCCTGAGACTGTTCAGGCTCACCTGAACTGGTACTTTTAGGATTTTATCAATTTTAATTAATTTTAGAAAGAGGGAAAAAAAAAACAAACCACAAACTATTGTCCAAAAACTAGCTATTACACGTGGTGGGAAGCATGGAAGGGTATTGAGTCCTTTTCCAGAACACACAGACAGGTGAAATACCAGGTTAAAAACTGTTATATGCGTAAAATAAAGTTATCACTCACAAGGAATTAAAGAAGAGATGCAGAATTCCACACCTGCAACACCACCCTTAAACAAATTCCAAACCCTGGCAGCTTTCCAAGTAATAATCAAATTATACCATCTCTAATAACTAAGTAAAATCAGGTAAGAATAAGGGGGAAAAACACCCTAGACAAATAAATTCTTGTTTTCCCCTGTTGTTTCCAAAGGAGTCAGGAAAATCAGCCTGTTCTGAAGGAGAAGTCGTGGTTATCGAGGCAGGAAGTTCCTTGGAAGGAAATGCTGGAGGATGTCCTTATGATAAGAGCTGCTCCAGACTTTTCACTGCCTAATCCTACTCCAAGCCTCTTTTTTTTCTTTCTTTTTTTTTTTTCTTTTTTAATTAAAAACAAATGTTGCAATAAATTTTTGGGTTCCTGGCTCAAAAAAATTTTAAGTTGCTTCAGATGAAATTTAGGTGCTAACAACTATTTTGGGACTCGGGAACAAACTGTTTCGGCTTTTTAACTCCTGAGAAGTAAGGATTTGTTTTTCTTAGTGTTTTCTAGTTTTTCCTCTCTTATTTTTCTACTTGCTTCCTGAATTAGCAAACCAGGATCAGAAAACAAGCCATGAAGGACAGCAGTGCCATCAGGATTCCCACTGGATTTATGGCTGCAGGCTCAGGTTAGTAGGGGATGAGCCAAACAGCTTCTTGTTTTTTAATCTCCATACAGAGACAATTGTTACTCAACAGGATTTTGATCATCACAACTGACACTTGAAAGTGTTTAACTTGATGGAAAAAACAGTGAAAAGGGGGGATTTCAAAGTACTTTCTCCAGCTGCTCCAATCCCTGACCCTCCACCCCTGGCTGAGGATGACTGACATCCCAGCACTGGTAATTTTATGGATAAACCTCATTTCCCTCCTTTTCCACACTCTGCTGAGCAGTCTCCCTTTCCTAGCTCTCTTTTTTTTTTTAGGATATGAGAGCACGGGAAGGTTTAGGACAGATGGAGAGAATGGGAAACTTCAAACCCAAAGCACCTTTGATCAGTCCCTGCCTGCTTTGTGGCACTGATGGGATTGTTCCTGACTAAGCCACGAAAACACTGATTTCCCTGGAAGCTCCTAAGCAGATTACAGTTGCTTCCTCCTGAAGATGGGCCGAGGGGGATGTTTACCACCAGCAGATTAAATTGGCTCCGATGGGCAGGAGCGAAGCAAAAGCATCCTCAGCTCAGGGCAAGGTCTGCACACTGTGGAGCAACCCCAAAAAAACAGGTTAAAGGGTTCACCTCCATCCCAGCTTGATTATGAAAGGGAAGCCTCATTTAAGCTGGAAAAGCTCTCCTTTAACAATGTTTATGATACACTCGGCCCCGTTGCCACGGCGATGGAACAACCATTCCCTCCAAACAGGCGCTGAGACCCTAAAAATAAACAGCCCGACCGAAATCACGAACGCGCCGCTGTGTCAGGCACGGGGAGCGCGTTTGTTGGGAACAGGATGGGCAGAGAGAAATGCTCATGACTGGATTCTGCTCCCCAAACGCCCACAAAGCAATCCCTGCGATTCTCGGGAGCTGCTCCTTAAAAAACACCACGGGAGAGCTCCCGTTTCCAGCCCCCCTGGCACAGCACATTGGTGGGGGTTGGCTCTGGAGGTAGCACAGGTGTGCACACAAAATAAAGGATCCCAGCGGGGATTTGCATGCTCTGCCCTCCGCCCCCCTCATTGATGTGGGCAGGAATCCACCCAGCTCGGGGAGGGCAGTGCAGGAGAACTCAAGAGAAAAAAAAAGAGATAAAAAAAATAGTGGTGGAGCGAGGAATTGGAAAACAACAACCCCCTGGATCCAACCAGCCAGCCCCTAAATCCAGTCAGCCCCTGGATCCAAACGGGCACTGAATCCCAGCCAGCCAATCCCTGGATCCCAACAACCCCTGGATCCCACCGGCCAACCAACCCACCCTGGGATCCAAAGAGCCACCGAATCCAACCAGCCAGCCCCTAAACCCAATCAATTCCCAGATCCAAACAGCCACCGAATCCAACCAGCCAGTCCCTAAACCCAATCAATTCCCAGATCCAAACAGCCACCGAATCCAACCAGCCAGCCCCTAAACCCAATCAATTCCCAGATCCAAACAATCACTGGCTCCAATCAGTCAACCCCTGAATCCAGCGAATCCCTGGATCCAACCAGCCAAGCCCTGGATCCAAAGAACCCCTGGATCCAGCCAACCACTGGATCCCAAACAATCAATGCCTGGATCCCAAACAACCCCTGGATCCAACCAACCACTGGATCCCAAACAATCAACCCCTGGATCCAACCAACCACCCCCTAAATCCAAGGAATCCCTGGATCCAAACAACCCCCGGACCCAACCATCCCCCGGACCCAAGGAATCCCTGGATCCAGCCCACCCCTGGATGCAAACCCCCAACTCCGAGCCCCGCCGAGCCCCGGCCCCCGGCGGGCACCGCTCGCTGCCCGGGGCAGGCGGGACAGCCCCGGCCCCCCCGGGACCCCCGTCCCGCCCGTCCCAGCGCGGGGGGAACCGCTCGGCCCCCGCCCGCCCCCGCTCACCGAGGAGGAGCCCCGCCGGTGCCCGGGCGCGGCGCTCCCGTGCGGTGCCGGTGCTGGGCGCGACCCCCCGCCGTCCCTCATGCCCGGCCCGGCCGCCGGGGCCGCATCCCGGGCGGGCGGGCGGGCGGGCGGAGCGCGGGGCGGCCGCGTTACACACGGCGGGGCGGCCGCTTGACCCTCCGCGGCCGCCGTAGCGCCGCTCCCGCCCACGGCCCCGCGGCTCGGCCAATGGCGGCGCGGCGCGGGGGGGCCGCCGACCAATGGGAGGGCGCGGCCCGAGCGGAGCGGTCCCCGCGCGGTCCTAGTGCCCGGCCCGCCGCCCGCGGCCATGTGCCCGCGGCCCGGCCACGGGGGGACACGGACACGGAGGGGGCCGGGAATGGGGGGAGACCCCCCAGGAATGCGGGGCGTGATGAGCGAGAGGAAGGGGCGCGGGGCGGAGCGCGGCAAAACGGGTGAAAAAGTGTAAAGTAAACCACCCTACATGCAAATAAGCCACCCCTGGATCCCAACCAAGAGACCTCTGGATTTAGACAAACCACTGGATCCAAGAAAATCCAAAAAAAATAAAAACACCCCACCCCTGCATCCAAACATCCAAACCCACCCGACCTCTGGATCCCAAACAAACATCTAAACCAAGCCTTGGATCCAAACAAGCGACCACTTGTCGGATCCAACCGACTCGCCCCCCTGGATCCCATGAACCGAGCCCTGCATCCAAACAACCCCTTATTTTTATAAAAAAAAAATAAATAAATAAAGTGACGAGGTCCATCCTTCCAGAGCAGAGAGGTTTCACCAGCAAAGCGAGGCAAAGGCAGGAGCCTTAATCACCCTGGAGCTCATTAAAGCAGCCCCGAGACCCCAGGAAACTGCTGTTCCACTCTCAGGATGGGTTGGGTGGGCACAGACCTCAAACATCATCTCATCCCACCCCCTGCCACGGGCAGGGACACCTTCCACTAGCCCAGGTTGCTCCAAGTTTATCCAGCCTGGCCTTGGGCACTCCCAGGGCTGGGGCAGCCACAGCTTCTCTGGGCAGGCTGTGCCAGGGCCTCCCCACCCTCCCAGCGTAGGATTTCTCCCCAGTATCCCATCTAACCCTGCCCTGTGTCAGTGGGAAGCCATTCCCTGTGTCCTGTCCCTCCAGACCCCGATCCAAAGCCCCTCTCCAGCTCTCCTGGAGCCTTTCTGAGGTACCCCCCTCAAAACCACTCCTCACACCAGTGGGACACCCCAGCACCGAGAAGGCAACGCTCTCCCCCTTCCCTCAGTGAACAAACAGCCTCTCCGTGGGATTCCCACCCTTTGGCACGGGAGAAGAGAGTTTTGGAGCGGCCCTTCATGCCAAAACACGCAGCTCCTGTTTCCTGGGCTGGTGAAAGGTTACCTGAGACTCCACAAAGCCTCTGCGTGTTTTGTTTGTGCCTCCTCACAAACCTCAGTCCTGCTCCACGGGCACAACCCAAAGCACCACAGCCAGGGATGGGTTTTTTTTTTGGGAATTGCCACCACCCCTAAACATGGGAGTTGTAGCTCAGCTCCTGGTTAAGCCTGAGCAGCTCCAGCCACCTTTAGAAGCTGCTTCTGTGAAGGAAATTCCCCATTTTTACCAGGTCATCTCCTTCAGCTGGTCCCACCCGGAGCCAAATGAAGCAAAAGGAGGTTTGTGATTTCGGGAACACCATCCTGCATTTCACAACACCTTCAAATAACTCTTTATCAGAGCTTCCCTGCACAGTCACAGGGAAACAGGAGGGAGATGAAAGCAGAGAAAGTCAGAGTTTAGGATCTGAGGATGCCTTTTGACTGCAGGGATGAGGCACAGGGGTTTCCCCCAGAGCACTTTGTCATGGGAAGGGAGGAAGTTTTCGACCGAGCCAATCATTATTTATTCATTTACAGAAGTTAATTTTATTTTAAAATGCAGTAGTTAAGAGGATGGTTCCTGGTTTTCCCAGCTGCACTTCCAAAGTAAAAAAAAACAAACCAAAAACAGTGAGAGAGACCAGGGAGGGGAAGAAAGGAGAAAAAGGTACAAAAATGCTCCACAAAGATCCAGAGTGAGTTTCTTGAGCTTTCGAAGTAATTCACCCCCTCTGAAGTGAAAGCATGTCCATATTTCCTTTTCCTGTGGAAAGCATCAGTCATTATTTCCACGGAGCACTTCACATTATCAGCACTGCTTTTCCCTCGGGAATGACCCAGGAGCAGCTGGGAGCTCAGCAGGCCCCTTTCCCAAGGCACTGAGCAGTTGCCTCCTCAGCTCTACCCCATTTTCACTGCAGATGAGTCAAACCCATCCTAAGCCACAGTGAGCCAGACCTGCTGACAAACTCCACCAGCTTTTCCCTGTGCCCATCTCTCTTCCCTGCCACGCTCCATCCCAAGTTTTTCCTCTGTTTAAAGCCTGGACTCCCTTCTCCCACCCTGAGACAAAAAAACCAAAAGGGAAATAACACAAAGCCCTCTCAGGCTCTTCCTGTGGAGTCAGAGGTGGGAGGTTTGCCAACATCTGTGTGTGTGTGTATGTGCACCTCAACCAGAGCTCATTCCCTTTCCTTGGGAAGGGACCAGCACCTGGGAGTGCACAGGGAGCGCTCCCAAAACCAGCTGGTTTCTCCAGGAGCTCCAGATGAAAAACCCCCAGGAGCTGGCACCCACTGTGCTGGGCCTTTGAGTTCCTCAGTGCAGAGTGGGAGAACGACACAGCTCCAAACAGGAACATTTCCCACAACCCAGGATCACACAGACCTGGTCTGTCAGCACCTGCCAGGCTCCAGTGGGGTCTGGAAAGGTTTTGGAAGAGCAAAGCTCCCTCTCCGAGGGCACCAACACAACTGCAGGTTCTTCCCGAATCCATCCCTGCTACAAACAACTGCTGAAGCATAACATACAAAATAATCTCTTTGTGGCTTTGTTCCCACTTGCCATCAGCTAAATCCACCAGCACACCCAAAAATCTCAGATTTCCTTCATGCTCAGGGTCCAACACTTGGGCTGAACCCAAAGAGACTGCCTTGGGAGAGGGACAGCACACACCAAAAAATCACCCCTACCCCAGCATCCCAAGGACCTCAAGGGCTTCAGCTGCAGCTGCATCCCTTAGGGTGACACCACTGACAGCTTTTTTTTTAGAGGGATAATAAATTTCCTGCTTTCCTGCAACTCCCACTTGGTTCTGCTGCCGCTGCCGTGCGGTTCCAACCCAACGTGGGCTTGTTCCTATCTTAGACACCATCACAAGGGGAGAGATACAGGACAAGACAAAGGCATGGGATGAACCCAACCAGGCAACAAGGCAGGGTTTGGAAAGAGCCCACATGCAAAACCACACCTTTTAAAAAAGCAGCTCATGTGCAAAGGCATTTTGAAGAGAAAGAGGCAGCAGAGAAAAAGAGTCAAACAATCACATCTCAGTCGGGATTTCTGGGGAGTGTTGATCAGGTGGCAGCACCTAGAGATGGATTTTGCAAGTGCTGGGCAAGGGCAGAGTCCTGAAGGGATACAGAACCCCCAGCTGTAGGAAAACACAGCACAACCCAGCCAGAGAGATGTCCAAAAGCACTGACTTAGCCAAAAGAGAAGCCTTCCTGCAAGGTTCTGGCTCTGCCGTGACGTGAGGGAGGGTCAGGAGGGGATGGGAAGCCAGAAAATTATGCAACAGCTAATCAGACCCTAAGGAGGCCTCACTCCAGAACACACAGGTGCTATTTTAATCCAGCTCCTAATTCCAAGACTGAGCACTGGCAATCTCAGAGCTGTTCCTCTCATTCTTTGGCTTTTAGAGGTTTTGTGCCTCACCAGCAAGAGGATACACTCATGTGGAAAAAGCTTTTAGATGAGGGAAGGGTTGTTTGTCTGGTTTTTAAAAGTTTCCCAGTGAAAAAAAACCACTTGTTGCTCTCTTGGAAAGCTTAATATTTAAGGCCTTTTTGGATTACAGAATGCCAGGATAGTTTGGGTTGGAAAGGACCTAAAGCTCATCTCATTCCACCCCCTTCCATGAGCAGGGACAACTTCCACCATCCCAGATTTCTCACTGAGGCCTCAGGTCCCAGTATTAGAATCCCAGGATGTGGGAAGGCATCTCCTCACAAAGATCCCACAGACCCTGCAGGATGCCCACATAATATTTCAAAACACTGAGGGACCCCCCAAATACCTGCAAGCCTTCCCTTTTGGAGCACCTTGAAGATGATGAAGTAACTCACTTCCCATCCCTGTCTTCCCTTCCACGCCCAAGACCTCTTATTTCTCAGACCCAATAAAGGCTTTTTCCTCTGTTTTGGTTTTTTTTTTGGTGTTTCATTTCAGGAAGAAGCAGAATCGCCCAGTTACACGAGAACTTCACTCCCCAGTGAGGAGCAGGGCTGGAATTTTTTTCAGAAGGGCTCATCCTCCCCCTGACTCAGAGCAGCTCAGAGGTGGTTTCAGGTGCTTATGAAAGTTTAGCCCTAAAGCTGCGCACCAGAGAGCTCTGGTTGTTACACAACGCTGCCAAACGAGTTCCCACTGCCTTGCACAGCCCTTCTCCTACCAAACACACAGTTCCCCTCCTGAAGTTCCCACATCCTGAGTGAAATTCCTGATGCAACGCTTGGAAACCTCAGTGGTTCCCCTCAGCTGACCCACCTGCACCATCACGGGGCAGGGACCATTGATGTGGCAGCTGGAATTTCATCTCCGGGCCTGTTGTTTGTGCAAACGAAACCCCAGGTCTGAAATAGCAGAGGTGAGAAGCCAGACTGCAGCTCGCTCAGCTCCCTTACCAAGGAGCTGTGAAGCTGCAGTTGAGGGGAATTCAGAGCAATTCACACGAGAAGAACCGGCGACGTTTCCAAAAGCGACCACGGATCCGTGGATGTCGAATCACGGATCTGATTCCCCCCACCCTTCCCCACTCCCACCACGTACATTCTGCGCCAAAAAAGGCTTTATCTGGGTGGATTTTCGAGGGAAGCAGGGAAGGATAAGCCTTTTCTGTACCACTGCCCAGTTCCTGGATCAAACACAGAATGTCACGACTGACCAGACACCGTGTCCTCTCCCACAGGGAATTCATCCCATCTGCTGGAAACCTCCCCCTCTTTGGGGCAAACCATCAGCAAGCAAAGTGTTTTACCTGCACAGGCAGTGGAGAGCAGCTCCTAGGAAAGGTGCATCCCTGCAAACCACCTGTCCCCAGTCCATGCTAAGGGCAAATCCCCAGCCCGGGGTTGGGGTCACCGAGCCCTGCGGGGCGAGCGACGGACAACAGGCACTCACTCAGCAGCCTCATTCCTGCACGGAGATGTTCCTCCCTGCTCCAGCCTCCCTGGGAGTGCTCTTGTGCCTCCTTAGAAAGCTGATTATGAAGGAGCAAGTCAAGCCCAGCCAGCTGTTTTAATTGAGCTCGTTTGTTCATTAACCCCTCAGTCCCCAGGGCAGCTCCCCCGGGCAGAGCATCAGGGGGAGCTCCTGCCTGCCCTGCAGCACAGGGATGGGATAGACCCACACCCTGGCAAGGAAACCTTGTGTTTTGTGCTCAGTGATGGCTCCAGAAGAGCTTGAACCGCCTCCTGGGACACGTGTGATCCAACACAGGGCTCCTTCCCTTTTCCTTCCAGCTTCAGGCCCAAGAAGTGCTGAGGAGACACCTGAGGGTCAAAACCTTGCCCACAGAGCTGCAAACCTTCCCTGTTCTGTACCCCATTAGCAGCTCCCACCTTTTGTCACTCAGGGACAGGATCAGGCCCCGCTGGTGGCACTGGAGGAACTCTCAAATGACCCTCTTTGACCCTGTTCAATCCCATTCCCACAAAGGGATTTTTTTCCCTGTTCTTCCCCAAATCCTCAAATTCTAGTTTTCTCCCCGCCTCAAGCCAAATTCCGCTGCTGAACCAGTGAGAGAAACAGCAACTACTCCAAGAATTACATTTGCCCCCAATAAAACTGAACTCTGGAAGGCAGAATCATTAATAAAAATCCTGTTCTGATTTTAATAAGGGGGGAACAAAAAAAAAAAAAAGGAAAAAAACCCCTAATGCCATGATCCATCTTAGAGCCATATTTCCAAAGGGGCTTTAAAGCAGGCTGTGGATTTGCACTGGCCCTTGGCTCAGCCCCCAGGATGAGCAGCCAGCACGAGCTCCACGTGGGCAGCTCGGGATGTCACTGCTGTCACTCGTGCTGCCGAGGATGGAGGGCTCTGCACTGCGCTCCTGCTAAATCCAGAGCCCCGGCTGCAAATTTAGAAACGTTGCCTGAATTTCTCTCCGTGCTCTCCCACGTCCTGCCCTGCTACAACTCCTGTCTGCCTGCGTGGATTTCTTAAAAAGCACTGCTTAGCAACCTGGCAGCCTTTTGGCTCCCAGCACGAGGCAACCGGTCCCTCCCATTCCCGCTCCCCCAGCAGGGAATCCATGGCAGGCACATGGATTCACTCAGAGCACCATCTGAGGCAGAGCCAGGTTAAGGCCCAGCAGCTTTGGTGACACTTGTGTCACCTCTTGGCAGCCCCAGTGCTCTTCTGTCTGTGGGGAGCCAGAAGGATCCTCATCCCTCCTGCTGCCACAGGTCACATCTCACTTCCCCAGTGAACGTTTCTGTGGAGTAACATCCTCACTGGAGCAAAGGATGGGTAATTACAGAGCCTCCAGTAAAGCTTGTAAGCCATCCAAAGTCCCCAGAGGGAAGCAGGTGAGAGACTGCAACACCCATTGCACAAGAGATACGGATCTAGGGTGGGTTATTTTATAAAAATCTCTCCTCTCCCTTTGTGGTTCTTCTAAAGAAAGGGCAAAACAAACAAGGCAGGCTGTTAAGTCCCCACTGCCAGTGTTCCCAGCCCAGCAGCTCCATCCCAGGAGCAGAGTGGACCCTCTGGAGCACAGAGAAGGGCTTGGGAGTGAGGATGAGACACTGCTGTTCCTGCCCCACGGTTTGGAAAGGTGCAGCCTTGCCGCTTGCCTTGGGCTGGGAGCGGAGGGAGGCAGGATGGGGCAGGTCCAGAGCGAGCAGGGAGTGCTGTGAGCGAGTCTGGAGCGAGGGGGAAGAGCAAAGGGGGACAGATAAAAAAGCACCACGAGGCGGGGCATGAGTCACGTTGGCACGTGGCCTCTGCAGAGAGCCCTCCAGCAAAGAGGGCATGAAGTGAATTCCTTGCCAGGCAAAGAGGCTCTGGAACAAAAGGCAGCCCAAAATAGGCCCTGGAATACCTGTGTGCTCCTGCTCATCCCCAGAGGGGCAGCAGCACACACACCTGGGGCATCTGGTCATGCTTGACCATGCCAGGAGCAGCCACAGCAGCCCCAGATCTCCAGCTAATCCTTGGGAAAGCCGCCTTCCCTGCCCAGAGGGGAGAGCTCTCCCCAGACAGCCAAGGTGAGGGCTGCAGGTCTCACACACCGGCACTCACAGGGGAGAAATCCCGCTGCAGGCAGCGGCTTTCCATGCAGCCTATCCACACCTTCCCACTCAGGAGCTGAGAGGGAAGGAGTTTTAAGCCAGGATCAAGAAACCAGCCCTCCCAGACCTTTGGGGAAGGCTTGGATGTGCAGGTGAGCAGCGTGGCTCCAGCTCTTTGTGCCCTGAGCCCTGCCGTGCCGCCCGGGGATGGGGAGTGCTGGCGATGCGGGTGTTCTCCCAGAAAACACCCTCTGGAATCACAACAGCAGCTCCATTAGCTGTGGCTCTTCCTGCAGCCACAGACAGTTCCCCACTTGGCTGAGGCTGGAGCCTGGCCAGGAGCCGTCCTTCAGCTTGTTTCCACAAAGAGGGATCCAAACCCTGGCTTTAGTTACGTTCCTCCTCTGTGGAAACGGCGTTCCTGCGCGCTGGGGGTTAGACTTGAGGGAAAACTTTGCTGTTTCTGGGGGCCAGAAGTGTGGGGGAAGAGGACCTTTCTCTTTAGTGCTTGTAGAGCATGAGGTCCTGGCCTGAATTGTGGCCCCTGGAATGACAAATAGCAGGAGAAACAAGGTCACCAGGGAGACCCTCAGAGAACCTCAGTGGTGGAAAGTGCCCTCCCCCATCCATCTCCACTGCATCAGCATCTCCTTCAGGGGCAGCATAACCATCCCTAAATATTCCAGATTAAGAACAAAACAAGGATTTTTCAGCTCCCTTGCTCCTTCTTTCGCTGCTGTGACTTCAGCAAAGCTGGCAGAGCTGCGGGGAGGAGCAGCCACCAACATCCACATCTCCAGCCCCACGACACTGCCCCCAGGGTGGATTCCTTCCCCAGCCTGTGTGTCTCACACAGAAGTCTGGTGTCTCATCCAGAGGTGCATCTACCACCCCTTGGAGAAGGACACCATATCCATCCCCACCTCTCCAGCTTCTCCCTTCCCCGGAGTCACCACCAAAAAGAGAGCTGTATGGACCAGAGAACAACCTCTCTGCTGTGCAAACCCGCCCTCCACAGGGCAGGGAACAGAGATCAGCTCATTTCCCAGTCCTTGCTTTGGGCACAACTCCACACTCCTCCCTAAAGCAGCTCAAGGGCAGCGTGAGACAAGCACGTGAAGGCCTGAGCTGGGAGAACATTGGGGTATCAGCAGCAGGGCACGGGCACAGCCGAGTTAGAGCCTGCAGGGCACTGAATATCAGCTCGAGACGTGCTGGCAAAGCCACGTGGAAAGGGCACCCTGCCTGCCTCCAACTCCTGACGCTTATTCTGTGTTTGTACAAGCGCATAATTCCCTCCCAGATGTTTGCAGAAGCTCAGGAACTTGGCACAGCAGCGAGGAGCTGGCCTTTAATTAACCAGAAGTCAAATACAAGACGGACGTCAGAGCCTGGGAGCTGCTCTGACCCCCTGATAGGGGCTCTCAGCTCTTCTGGGGTCTCACACATCCCTGTCTCTCCTTGGCACTCTCCTTTCTTGTTAAAAAAGACTTTTCTGGTGCTGCTTTCCTGATCCCTTTGAGGGCACACATCTCATTTCACCCCCTGCCATGGGCAGGGACACCTCCCACTAATCACAGCTTGCCCCATCCAAGCCCCATCCAGCCTGTTCTTGAACCCTTCCAGGGATGGCACATCCAAAGCTCCCCTGGGCTGGAAATACTCTGCTCTGTCTCTCAAGGTGTGCAAATCTTGCCGAGCTCAACCCGACCCTACTTGCCTACACACACAAACACACACACAGTCTCACCCCAGATGAGCTCCAGTTTCCTTCACATGTATTTCAGAGAACAAAAGTGCCCAAAACAGGCCATGAACACCGTCATCCTTGAACAGAAGGGTAGCACAGCCTCTCCCATGATTTGGCAAAGAGTCATTTCCCCCTCTTCCCTGGTGGTTTCTGCACTGCTTGTTCGGCTCTGGGGCCTCCTGCCCTCAGCCTGAGCAGGGATGAGCAGCAGGAATCACCTCCTGCTGCCCCCCTGAGGTGTCCGTGGGCTGCAGGGCTGGCCCCGGTGGATCTTCAGGTGTTTGGCTAAATGGTCACTGCGGGCAAACTTCTTCTCACAGGCAGCACACTGGTAGGGCTTCACCCCGGAGTGGGAGCGCTTGTGGCGGGAGAGCTCGTCCGACCGGGAGAACCTGCAGGAGAGGGGAACAGCGGTGGGTCCAGCCTTCCCTGCTGGCCAGGACAGGGAACACAGGGACCCTGGCACGGGGGAGGCTGAGCTCTGTCTCTGCCACAGCCTCCTGGATCACCCTAGACAGGTCACTCCTCTGCCCCATCCAGGGAGGCAGAGCTCCAGGAACAGACTCCTCCAAGTTCGGAAATAGGGTTTGGAATCCTGTTTGGAAATAGGAAAGGGGAAAGTAATTCACCCCCTGAGATCTTAATTTCTTTCCACTGCTCTTTAGGGACGCTGGCCACCTACTTCCTTCATTTGTTTGAACTTGCTGAAGCCCAGGAGGTGAGAGCCCTGAGGCCAAACACTGTGAGAAAGTGATTTTTGGGGCATCCTCCCAGGCTAAAGGACTCAGTCCAGGATCCTGGGAGGGAAGGCTTTCCTGTAACGCCCCATCCAGCCCAGAGCTGTTGAGAGAAGGTTTGTTTTCTCTGAGGGTGTGGGTTCTCCCTGCAAACTCCGAGCATCCCCTTGTCTCTGCCAGTGGCAGTGAAATTTCCCCGTCAGCCTGGGCTGGACTGGGAGCTGGGAAGAGGGAAACTGCCTGGGAGCTGAGTTAAATACAGAGAAAAGGGGAGGAAAACAAACACACCCAGCCTGGAGCACGGGGCAGAGGTTCCCATGCCAAAGCCACTGCAGGAACAAGGACCACGGGAATACTCAGTGTCCACACTGCTGGTCTGTGTAACTCCCACACCTGGAGCAGATCAGCTGAACAGCCTGGGAAGTCCCTTTAACCACAAGTGTGTCCCCACTCAATTCCCCTGCACCTTCCTCCCACCTGGCACACGCAGATCCAGACCTGGGGGCACGGGCAGCAGGTTGGTCACAGGTATTTTGAGTGCCCACGCTCTCACAAGGCCTGGAGTGGCTCCAGCGTGGCTTTGCCTGTCAGGGGAGTGCTGGAGAGCAGGACCAGGCTGGATTTACTCCTGCTCTGCCTGTGAGGAGCCAGCACAGATGGCAGGAGCATTAGGACAGGAGGGTTTTTCCATCTGCCTGAAACGTGCCCACGCAAAAAAGCACAAAGCAAAGAGCTTCAGCTGCAACCCCAGACTCCAGTGAGGGGATTTCAGGCTCACACCTGGGCTGGGAAATACTGTGGCTGCTCACAGAAACCTCTGTGGAAACAGGATGTGTCCCAAGGCCATCCTCAGGTCCTGGCTGGGACTTGAAAAGGAGCTGATGCCGATAAACCTGCACTGTGGGCATAGTTGAAATGGAGGGGCAGTTTCTGAGGGCAGAGGGGCAGCAAGAGGGACTGCCAAAATTCAGATTAGTCCCACACCTTCCAGGGTTTCAGCACCCCCAAGACAGACACCATAAACCCATCCAGGGGAACGAGGCAGAGAGTGAAAGCCAGAACATCGTGTAAGAAACCAGGAAAGCTCAGCTGCCAACACCAGCTCTGCGTGTGATATCCCTGGAGATCTGCTGATGGAAAGACCTGAGGACTGTCAGCCCTTCCTGCCAAAGGCTGCAGGAGCATCCTGCCCCTCGGGACAGGCACACAGCACCGGGAAGAGAACACCCCAGCAGAGCAGTGATCAGAGAAGCGCAGCCAGATTAAATAGCGGGGTTAATTCAGGGAGCAGGGCTAATTTAGGGAACGCAGATCAAAGGAAACAACATCCACCATCACGTGCAGGGCAAACAAAAGTAAATGCAACATGGAGATACAGCCCAGGCCCACGGGTGTGTGAGGGATACAAGCAGCCAGGGCAGCAAACGGCGAGAGAAAGCAAAAGGTTGCAAAACAGACCCAGAATTGCACACTGGCTGCTGAGGAAGGACTGAGACTCCTGTTTCCTTGCACAAATATTAATGGGAGAGGCCGTTTTTGGAGCCCCACTGCAGAAATTGCCCTGAACTAGACACAGAAAGCTTCCCAGAATGAACACATCACCTGGAAAAGGGGTATTGCCAGAGGGGGTTTAGGCACCCAGTTCAAGGAGGATTTGGGGTGCTGGGGAGAATATCAGCTACATGCCCCCAGCTGGAGATTTTCAGCACTTTTGGACTGAGTGAAAACTACCCAAAACACTCCACCAGCTTCACTTCTGCATGTGCCCTTCCAGCTCTCACCTGTAATTCACTTGGGAACGGGAGATTTTGTGCTGGATTTTCACCAGCCAGGAGCTCTCCTGCCACCTCACCAAGCCCTGGCAGGCCTTTTCCACGGACCCCCCACCCCCAGAGAGCCCCCACTCACCTCCAGCCGCAGTTGGGCCAGGCACAGGTGTAGGGTTTCTCCCCAGTGTGCCGGCGGAAATGAGCCTTCAGGTGGGAGCTCTTGGAATACACCTTGTCACAGCCCGGGTGGGAGCACCTGTGGATCCTGGAGAGGGAAGGGGGGCCCTGCTGATGCCTGGGGGCTGCCTCCACCTCCTGCCCATCCCCTGGTGCCCCAGGCCTCGTGGAGACCGGCAGTGGGGCGATCCTGACGTATTTTTGGTCCCCGGTGGTCACAGGGGGCTGGAGCTGAGGGAGGAGGGACAGGTTTGGGCCCTGCAGGCTGATGACCAGCTGGGCCACCCTGACACCAGCTGTGGCACCCTGTGGGTGGCTGTCCATCTGGAGAGGCTGGATTTGGAGGACAACAGGGATGCTCCCAGCAGGTACTGCCTGGTCACTGCCATCGGCTGTCCCTGCAGGCTGAGCAGAGCTTGGGACATCTCCTTGCTCGCTGCAGACGGGCCGTTCCCCAGAGCCACCCGAGCTGACCCCAGGTTGGCTCTCCTCCCCTCCAGCTGGGTGAAGCTCAGGGCCTTCATCTCTGAGGAACTCTGCCTTCTCCCTCAGGAACTCCTCGATCTCCTCCAGGGTGGGGATGAAGTCCTGGGAGAGGCTGCTGCAGAAGTCGGGCAGCCTGAGCTGAGCCTCGCAGACGGTGAGCTGGGGTTTGGGGTGTCCCCCCTTGGACAGCGGGGCGCCTTCAGCAGGGCTAGTGCTGCCTGCCAGGAGGTGGCCAAAGCCCTCTGGGGGCCCAGATGTCCTCTCACTGCCATGCCCTGGCAGAAGGGATGGTGGCATCCTGCGCTGCAGGGCACTGGCCAAGCTCTCGAGCAGGGAAGGGCTGGTCAAGGAGGGCAGCAGCTCCTGGCAGCTCACAGAGACCATTTGTTGACTCACTGCTCCCCCCACACACAGCTCAGAAGCCTCAGGAGGAGCTCAGCTGGGGAAGTCTTTGTTCATCTGCAAGGGAACACCACCAAGGTTATTTCCAAATTCAAAAGCAAACATGAAAACCTCAGCCTTTGAACAAAATGGACTGTGCATGAAAAAAAAGAAAACATCAGAACTAGTCAGGGGCCTTTGTTTTTAAAGAGTCTGTTGCTCAAAAAAAACACACAAGCTAACCACTTTCCTCTCCAGGATGCCAACAGGCTGCAAAGAGCCAGATTTCCCCCCAGAAGCAAACTTCTCTGGGGAGTTTATGAAGGTGAAAACACACAATGAAACCCTTCATCCCTCTTCCACCTACGCTGGAGGGCAGCTGTGCACTGCTGGGTGGTGGAGAGGATGACTTGGGGCTTACAACCAGGAGTTAACTGTGATCCAGGAGAGGCTGCTGGCTTCTCCACGCTGCAAATGTGGTGCAACCACGCCCTGACACAGACCCAGCCTGGCTGGATCCGAGCTCACAACCTGCACAGGTAACCAGACGGCTCTGAGGGTGCTGCTGCCAAAGTGCCCGGGGCCCTGGTGAGTGCTCACCCACTCTGTGGGTCCAGGGCCAGCAGTGCCTGAACAAGCCAGCTGGGACCCTGTTGGGGCAGGTCTGCCCAAACTCAGTCACACCTCCAGAGAGCAGCACAGACAGCCTGTCTGGGGTCAGCTCACAGGGCCCCTGAGGACACAAACACCACGTGAGAGCGAGCACGGTGTCCCCAGGTCAGACCTGTGTGGTCTCCAGAGGGGACTGGTCTTCCATGAGGCAACACCTCAGACCCCCCAGGCCCTGCTGTGGCTCAGGGGGTCGTGAGTGAGGTGCCCAAGCACCCTCAGAGCAGCCACACACCGTCCCTGCCCCTGTGAGAGGTCAGCTTGGAAGTTTCCAATGGAAAGAAAACTTGTGCCCAAGTCCCTTGTCCAGACTGAGTCCGTGAGATCTCTGCAGAGCTGCAAACCAGCCAAGCCAGTCCTGGTTATCAGTGCTCTCAGGGTCCCGAGAGCTGGGAGAGGGAATTTTTGAGAAGCAGTCCAGATGTGATATAAATGCTCTTAAAAAAATACCCCCCACACAGTTTAAAACCTGCCCAGAGCAAGGAGCCACATTGCTCAGGGGGCATTTGCAGCACTGCATCAACAGTTCATGGTGAGCAGAGGCTGCTCACACGTGAGACAAGGAAGGTGTCTGGGCCAATCTCACAGCCTTCAGGCTTCAAATTTTCAGCACAACACAAATTCCTGCTCTGAACCATCCCCTTCAAGGCAGTACCCAACTCCACTCCTTCCTCCACTCCACTTATGACCTCTTTCTGGTCTCTGCTTCTCTTTCTACAGGGAAAGCCTCCCCCCTCTGGCTACCAAACACTTCTGTTTACCTCTTCCAGAAGGTCTTAAAACCTGATTTTCCAACCAGGTCTCCTTGCAGAGCAGCTCAGGAAGTCTCCATCCCTCCAGCATGTCCCCAGGACAACTGAATTGCACTGTCAACTCCTTAGCTGTAGTTACAACCCTTCTGTTGAACTGACAACAGGAATAAAAGCACGACCAGAGGGCAGGAAGAAGGGCTGCTGTTTGAGCTGCTGGCTCAGGACTGAGGAGATCTGAGCAGGATGATCTCCTGCTCTGCTGCAGGCTTCTCGTGCAGCCTTGGAGTGCTCTGGTGCTCAGTTTCCCATCTAAGAGGGGGCAATCAGTGCTGCCCCACCCGGCAGAGCAGTGACAGGGGGACATGTGTTACCTGGTGGCACGTTCTGTACCTGTGACAGGTGTCAGCAGCTTCTCAAACCAAGGCAGTTTTGCAAAATGCCAACAGTGCTGTTACCCCAAAGCTACTGCAAGAAAATGTAGCCCTGAGTGGCCCTCTGGTCACACTGCGAGGCTCTCGAGCTTCTCTCTGCACTTCCAAACTCCTACAGTCGTTTGAACCCCCCCTGAACCCTCGCCTGCCGTCTGAAACCAGCAGATGTGCCCCCTGAGCACACGGAGAAAGAGCGATTCGCCCAAGGTCAGCCAGCAGGCAGGGGCTGGGAGCGCAGCCGAGGGTCAGGGCTCCGCTCCCGTGACCGAGCAACGTGAGCGGAACGCCCGTGACCCGCTCGGGGCCGCGAGTGCCACCCGCGCTGTCCGCGCACGGCCCGGGACAGCGGCGGTCACACGGGCACCGCCGGGGCCACGTGCGATGGCCGAGGCGACCCCGCCGCGACAAAGCCATGCCCGGGGACGAGCGGGCGTGAGCGGGCTCTGCTCCCACTGCACCCCACGCGGGGGTCGGGGCGCCCACCCAGCCCCCGGGGCCGGGGACACCCAGGCTGGCTGTGCCACTCGCTTCATCGCCCAGGGGAGCGAAGCCCACCCCGAGCCCGGCCCGGCGGTGCCCCCCGGGAGCGCTGCAGGGCGGGATCCCCGCGCCCCCCGCGCCCCTTACCCGGCTCGGTCCACGCGGGTCCCGCGGCTCCCGGCGGGGGCGGCTCCCGGCCCGCCCCGCCCCGCAGAGGGCTCGGCTCCGGCCGCCGATCCCATTGGCACGGGAACACCCGCCCCGGGAGGGGCACCGGGGGCTCGGGGTGTCCCCCGCTCTGGCCCTGCCCGGGGCGGCTGGAGCTGCTCCCGGAGGAGATCCCGCAGTTTGCCGTGGTTTCCTCCCCCTGTTAATTTACACTGGAGACGCTCCAGGTTTCTCCAGCACTTCAGGAAAAGAAGTCGAGTCCCAGCAGGCAGCGGCGGCGACGGTTCCCGCTGGCATCCAGCGGGATACAGGTGTTCGTTTCGGGAGGAACGGTTTTGGCAGGGCCGCAGGGTTTGGGTAAGGTGTGTGAGGTCTGTCCTTGTGTGGCTGCAGGTTTGTGAGTTCCTGAGGGAGTCCCTAAGGATGGCCTTGGGCTGCCTCTGACAGGGTGGGCTCAGCCCCTCTAAAATACCAAAAAGACTTGAGAGGAGATCCCATCGACAGGGGCTTTCCAGGCCCACTGGATCCCCCTAAAACACCTGGTGTAAGGCTTCAAATTTGAAAAAAAAAAAAACCCAAACAAATACAAACCCAAAAACATTCCAGCAGTGAAGGTGCATGGAAAGGTCAATCCATAGCTGTTCCCCTGATCGCTGCTGTGCCTCAGGGTGTCACCCCGTGTCCCACCTTCACAGCCCTTAATGTTGCTGCTGATAACACTTATTAGAGTATTAAATAGTTAAGTATTAAATAATTGTGAATAATTATTAGTAATAATTATTTGAATATTAAATAAGGACTAGGAGGGACTGGGAAGGTCTCAGCAGCTCCTCAAAATGCTCCGGTGCTTCTTACTGCGATGCTGCAGGGCCGACACGCGAAAGGGCTGCGCTTTACGCAAAAAAACCCGGGGATAACAACAGGGAGTAAAGTAAATCCTGCGCGGGGTTTGCACAGCACCGGGCGGAGCCAGCGGGATGCTCACCGGGAGCAGCGGGCGGCTGTGCGAGGGCAGGAGGTGCGGGAGAGCCCGTCCCTTCCCCTCGGAGCCCCTCTTCGGACCCCAAATCCCAGCCCTTCAGCCCATCCCGGCCCCGCATCCCGGCTCCGCATCCCAAATCCCAGCCCTTCAGCCCATCCCGGCCCCGCATCCCGCCCGCACCCCCGGCACGGCCCGTGCTCATGGCCACGCCCCCACATCAGACCACGCCCCTCAATTCACTGACCGCGCCCCCAATCCATGGCCACGCCCATTTCTCCGCCTCTTGTTTGATGACCGCCCATTTGGACTCCGCCTCTTGTTTGATGACCACGCCCATATCTTCATCAATATGTAAATGACCACGCCCATGACCACGCCTCTCATTCTGTCACTGGCCCCGCCCTTATCCCCAGCCATCAATAGCCTGTGACCCCGCCCCTTCATTTTAAGCCACGCCCCCTGCATTGCTATTCCCGCCCCCAATCATTGACCACGCCCCCGATCCCGCCCCTCGTCGCCGCCTGGTGGCGCCCCCCAGCGGCCGCTCCCCTCAGGCACACAAACAAAACCATCGACCCCCTTTAAACGCCTCTTTATTTCCTCCTTCTCATAGAAATTTATAATAATAGCCTTCCTCTCGCATCGTATACAAAATATTTGCTCTACCGAATAAATAAAACACGGACGATCTCGCGGACAGAGGATGATCCCGACAGGAAAACCAGCATCCATCCATCCATCCTTCCCTAACCTAGAGATTCACAACAGGCTCACAGTAACGCTCTCCCTCCTCCCCGTGCCCACGATCCAAACCCTCCCCACCATGGCACGAAAGGAGAGGTGAGGCAGGATGAGCCTGTGAGAGGAACACAGCAGTGCACCCACGAGCTGGAAGAGGAAAGTGCCACCTCTCCACCTCTGGGGAGTTTGTACCCAAACCTGTGGTCCCACAGCACAGGAACCCTGTGTTCTCACAGGCAACACCAGTAACAGCAGGCAGGGGATGCTCTTACCTTCACTAGAACATCCCTGGCGGTCCACGCGTGATCCCCACAGAGAAGCCAGAAGGGCCAATCTTACAAATAAAGGAGTTTCTGGAAGAAATGCCTCCTCGAACCAGGGAGAAAAGGCTTTTGGCACCAACAGCACACAGGCAGGGCTGTTGGGGTGACAGCAACGTCCCCCAGGGCTTTGGGAAGGCAGCTGGGAGAGCCCAGCCCAAACCTGAGCTCAGCCTGCCCAGCCAGCTCTTGGACGTGGCTGGGGTTGTGCTGGCACAAATGACAAGGATTAAGGGCTTTGAAGGGTTTTATGGACAGTGTGAGGCCACAACGAGGGGTTCCCACCCACCATAGTGCAGCCAGTGCCCCACACCAGTCCCTTCCATACCTCCAACATCCAATTTTCCCTGAAGCCCCCTCTTCTTCCTCCTCCCTCACCCTGATCTCTTGTCCTAAACCCAGCTGCCTGCCCCTCTAACCCTCTGCTTTATCATTGAGTGTCTGTAATGAAGCATTTAAGGCCCTTATCACCAAACCCCTACACCTCAAGTTTGGTGTGCGAGCACTTTAGGCACTTAAACAAATGGCTCAATTGTCAAAAGCACTTGAGCATCCCAACAGCCCCACGTTTTACCTAGGCAAAAAAAAAATAAATCGAGGATTCTTCAGCACACCTGTTTGAAAAATCATTCATTCAAGAAACACCCCAGCTTTGGCAGCAACATTTTGCCCCAAAGCCTTTCCTGCTCCAGCCTGCAGTGGACAGAGCCCAGGGTAGGAAGTACAGCCCCAAAACTGTTTCCGTAAGTGGTTAAGCAACTGCCAAATCCATCCCCAAAACAGCTGCATTTCAGCACACAAACCTTGTTGTGGGAAAGGGAGGCTGGCAGGCACATAATTTGCGAAGAAATAAAACAAAAACAGTGACCCCTGACGGGAAAGAAGCATTTAAAGAGCCCAGCAGCCCTCTGAGGGCCCGTCTCAGACAGCAGGGGAGTCACCCAGCCCCCGTGCCAAGGAACAGGCTGACAAGACTCTGCCAAAATAGCAACATTTTGCCCTTCAGCCGAACCTCACAAGTGCATCTCGCTGCCCACACACCTCCACAGAAAATTACTCACAAACAGCTTGTCTGGCCCAGCCAAAGTCAAGGACTTTTTGTGTGCTCGCAGGACCAGCTCAGCCTCCCTCTCCGCACTGTCGCAGAGTTTGGATCATTCCAAAGCCCAAAGTGCTGACTGGGGGCCAGGACCTCACCTCCTGCTTGGTGTGTGGGTAGCCTTTGAGTGGTAGAAATCTGCCATCAGCAGAATTATTCCAGCTGCTCCACTCGGATGGGGAAGGGGACTGGCCAGAAGGACTCACAGCTGCAGCCACTCTGCTGCCAGTGGGAGATTACTCAGAGCTGGGAGCCAAACAGCCTGGAAAACACCCAGGAGGGTTTGGTCCCAGCACAAGGTGCTTTGTCTTACTCTAACAGGTAACTGGGTTTTCGCTCTGCCTCAGAAGAATCTGGAGCCCTGTCTGGAAATAAAATGATTTTTAGGAAAGCCCAAACAGCCACAGGCAGTGACAGCTCCATCTCCCCACTGCAGCAGAGACCATTCCTGAGTTCAGCTCCTCATTCCTTCAGCATCCCCAGGCCTGGTACACCTGTTCCCAGGTAGCCTTGCAGGAGAGCTCTCCCTGTTCTACTTCACTGTCACAGGACTGAAAACCCTCTGAGAGTATTTCCCTTGTGCACAGCACTATCTTTTAGGGGCCAGGCGTGGAAGAGGCACAACAGGCTTGAACTGTTGGGGGAGAGAGCAGGAGGCAGGTCCAGGCACTGAGGTGAGGAGTGAGAGGTCAGAGTTGCTGAGAACTGTGTGAAGAAAGCTAAAAACAATCATTAAAAAAAAAAAAAAGAGCTCAGAAGTCCTTTCTATCTGATGCAACCTGGTACGTAGGTAAAAGGTAAGTCACCTTTTGGAACTGGTCCTAGTGGAACGTTACTTGTTTTTCTGAAACAAGATGTAGTAACTTCTCTCCTGGACGGTTTCTCCCAGCCAGAGCTGAGGTGGGGATGAACAAAAGTGTTTGTGCACCCAAGTGCACCCCCTTGTCTCCGTGGCCAAACCTTCACCACCCATCTGTGTTTTTTTTTTTTCCCCCCCAAGGAAATCTCCTCCCACTGTCCCATTTGCAGGAGTATTGCTCAAGAAGTTGGGTAAAACCGCAACAAGCAGGGGGAGAAGGATACAGCTGTGAGTGGAGAACAGAAGGGGCAATGATTTACCCCCTCCTTGTACCCAACTGCTGCTCCTGCTCACAGACACGACCCGTTATTAGAGGGAAAGTCCAGCCCCTTCCCCTCCCTGGCACAACCCCTTTGGCGCTGCCCGTGCCGTGCTCCCTCCTTCTGATAAAGGCACCTCTGGAAAGCACTGCTGACCCAAAGCACAGCTCCCTGATGGCTCATATTTACACCTGAGATTAGCCCTGTCCTGCCCCCAGCCCCAGAACACCCCCCCGGGGCCGCGGGGACAGCGGGTGCCACGCGAGGCTTCCCGCGAGTGGCCGTGCGGGCACACACGCCTCGTCTCACCACGTGCAGGGGCCCCCCACGCGCCTCCCACGTCACACGGAGTACTTGGCCATGTCACTCTTGTCGAAGACAACTTTGGTTGCGAAGTAAATGGCGACCAGGCCGAAGCCGGCGGCCGACACCATGTAGGCAGTGACCGACTGCGTGAACTGCACGATGGAGCCCATGAAGAGGGAGGGCACGACCTGGGAGAGCAGGAAGGCGCTGTCCAGGATGGCCAGGTCCAGGCAGATCCCCCTGCCAGGGGCCGCCGGGTCTGGTTCTCCCACCATCATCATGAGCGAGACGTCGCAGGAGGAGCTGACGCACAGAGCGGAGCTGGGGGCAGCAGGAGGGGGGAAGGCGAGGAGGAGGAGGAGGAGGAAGAGAAGAGGCTCCCAGTGTGGCCATTCTGGTAAGGCAGCTTCTGGCTGGAGAGGAGGCCTTTAGAGAAGGCTGATTTCTTGTCCAGTAGAGCTGTGTCTTCCTCCTCTTTGCTCTTGTATTTATGCAAAAACACCTACGGAGAAGAGGGAGACGCGTGAGGATGGGGCGGGGTGGGAGGCAGAGGGACCACCCTGGGTTTTGTGCCAGGGAGCAAAGCCATTGTGGCTCTGTGTGTGTTTAGTGGAATGCCAGCCTGAGCCTGGCCCACGTGAGGTGGCCTCCAGGAGCCAGGATGGCTTTTCCCGACTGGCACGGGGTTCAGAGCAGCCCTGACTCACCAGGGGAACCCGGCCAAGTGGGGCCTTTGCTGTGGTGGAGCTCTGGGGCTCAGCAGGCTGCTGCTGTAGCCCAGAGCCAGCCTGGGGACAGTTCGTGCTGGTTGTCACCTCCTCAGTGGGTGCCAAGGGGATCTGGGCTCACCCCATCCCGAGATGACCTGAAGCAGGGCAGGAGTGAAGGGCCAGAGTCCACTCTGGAATGTCACAGAGCCACACAGCCCACTCCAGTGCAAACAGCAGTGTTTGTAGAGTGGGTGGCTTGGAGCCCAAACCCTCCCTGCACAAGAGCCCAAAGGGCAGATGATCAGTCCAGAGCCCTGGACGAGTGGCCAGTCTCATCTGGGACACTTCAAAGTGACACCAGCTGGGATGGCAGAGTGCTGGGAACTCAGGGAAGGGCTCTTCTCTCAGCTCTGCAACAAACCTCAGAGCTGAAGAGTTGCTTCATCTGCCTGCCCTGAGCCTCCTCACTGCAGCTGGAAAAGAGGGGCGGGGAGGGGGGAAGCAAAATCTTTTTCTTCTCGCCCTTTTTTTGCCTGGCTCTGCTCAAGCTGTGAGATCTCTGGGGCATGGCTGGCTCCAGGGCATTCACACAGAGCATTTGGATGGAAAAGCTCCCCACGTTAACACCAACAAACCATGGGCAGTCATGTGCAGGCAGGGAAAATGCTGCTTTCAAACTCCAGAGTATTTGCAATTATGCACAACCCCTGGTCTGCAGGGGGTAGGGCAGATAACCAAGGACATGTCAATCCATTATCTGCATGGAGATTGAACAAACAAAGCAAATGAAACAGAAAAAAAGAGCACCTGTTTGGGAGCAGAGAGCTGTGCCCAGTGCAGGCTCAGAGGGGAACTCCCCTCCCTTGTGCAGGAGGGACCTGGACATGGATCAAGAGGAGGGAACTGGTGCAGCATGTGGGCACCCCAGCTCTGCTGCAGGTCACCCCAAAGCTCTCAGCAGCCTTGGCACACTTAAATGCATCAGTATGGGCTGTCACTTATCTTTCTGGAGCCTAAAAATCCTCCCACAGGCCTCCCATTGCCATCGAACTTCAAAGCAACTCAAAACCCAGCACAGGAAGGGCTTTGTGTGAGCCAAGCCAGGAGGTCCCTCACAGTTCCAGCCCCACTGACATTCCCAGGAGTCTGCTCTGGGAATGTCAGAGGCTGCCCTGAAGGCCCAGGCTGCATTTTCTTGGTTTCTATACTGATTCAGATTAGAACTTCAGGGATATGAGTTTTGGGGGGGGGGTGTTTGAATATCTAGTGTGGAGAATTAATTTACATCTAGAGAAAATTACTTGAACATGCAGGAATGAGCTTAGTGAGAATTTGGCTTTCAGATCACCCCAAACCAAAATGCTGACAGACTCCAACAGCAGGAAAAAAAAAAAAGAACAGGAATGGGGAAGATGGAGGATTTCCTGAAAAAGGCTTTTTAGGGACTTCTTGTGGGGTCTCCCAGCTCAAAGGAGCGGGTAAAGGAAGGAGGAATTTCCAGGGATGGCAACAGGGAGACCAGCCCCAGCTGTGCCCCTCACTCATTGTACTCCCAGTGTTTCCCTGTCGAGCCTTTGGCAAACAGTTGGGCATGTGGCCTTCCCATTCCCAGCCTGGGGAGTTTGGTTTTCATTCCACTGATAATTTGTCCATGGGAGATCCCAGCCAAGCTGAAGCTTTTGCAAAGCTGAGCATTCCCTCATCCCCCTCATTACTGCCTGGTGCCAACTGGGATGGGTTGGTCCCGAGGATTTGTTCAATGTGAACATCTGGATGCCTGTGGTAACAACTCCTACTTGTTCCACTGCACAGCCAACCACTGCTGCTGGGATGAAAGAGCTGCTCTCAAACCACAAATTAATTCTGCATTTGCAGCGCAAGAGAAACTCCCATTAATCCAGTGTGCAGCTCAGGAACCTCCTAGGACTGCTCCACAAGGATAACATCTGTGGGACAGGGTTACAGGCCTTTGTGTTGGTGTCACAAGTTTCACAAGGTTTATTTTTCATGGAGCAAAGGGAGTGGGAAGAACCTCAGTTGTCATTTTACTGATCTTGAAGCTCTGGACAAAAACTGGAAAGCAGGACCTCTAAGGGCTGAAAATTCTTGAGGTTTGTAGCACCTCAGGGTGGCAGAGCTACAGATGTGACTTGGCTGAGGAATAACAGGGATAACTAACCTCAACCAGTTTCCCTAAAAATATGCAGGACACAGAGGAACAGGGAACACCCCTTTTGATGCATCCACCCTGGCTGATTCCTGCCATCTTACCCACTCCCCTCTTTCTAAAAACAAATAATGCTTGTGGTGAGCAGGGGATCCCCAAGGAGGGAGAGGCTAAACTCCCATCTCCATCTCAGATGAACCTTCAGAGGAGGCACAGCCTGGGGACTGGGTGGAAAACCTTCGGATACAGGTGTGTGTTTCTCTCCCACGGGCTGGACTGGCCACGAGTGGCCGTGCTGGGGCAGATCCCTACCTGCTTGTCGTGGTGGTAGAGGGATGCCAGGGTGTAGGGCAGGATCTGCAGCGCGGAGAAGGTGAAGCCCGTGAGGGCGGCGGAGATGGTGACCACGGTGACGCTGTGGGACAGGCACATGACGAAGGCGGCCCCAGGGAAGAACACCACGCTGGCCAGGTACACTGCCCGCGTGCCAAACTGCTTCACCAGCCGGTCCATGATTGTCGAGAAGAAGATGGAGGTGATGCACTGCAGGAAGAGGCCCAAGCTGCCCATCCGCACACCTGCAGGCAAGCAGAGGGGGTGACGGGAAATCCTTCCCTCTCCTTGGGTTCCAAACTCCAAACAGCGCACACAGAGCGTGGCACAGCCTGACAACTGGGGCAGGGAGCAGAGCAGCATCAGCTCAGCAAGCCCAGCCTGCTGCTGCCCCCTCCACCAGCCCTGCTCCCTCCCGGGCACCCCGGTCTAACCGCAGGGGATCCAAATGCCACTCTTGTCTTTGGAAGTCATTGTTTGCACCTTCCTGCTCTTGCCCCAGCATCTGTCACCTGCTCGTGAACCAGGATCTGTTGTTATCTGATGCCAAAGGCAGCAGCAGAACAAAAGGAGCGAGGAACTGTGCTCAAGCCAAGGCAAAGTATACAACATCCACTAAACCACTGCAGTATCCGGTAGCAATCCCGGACCTTACCCTCTGCAAAGATCTATCAGATTTCAGGGAATTAAAACCATTAACTCTTTGGAGCAAGGATCATTACTCAACACATGTTTCTATGACAGCCAGCACAATGCAGTGCTGACCTGCTGGAAGCTAAACAGTGCAAGTGTTAAATAATAATTAAGCTCCCTGTAAGTTAAACAGACACCCAGCACAAAGAGGCAGTGTGCTTGCAGAGGGCAACATATACAGCTGCAGGAGGAGGGCCAGGAAGGTGCCTCCCAGGATAAAAGATTTGGATTAGGGAGAGCAAAAGGAGGGTTAGGGAGCCAGTCAAGGCTCTGGCACAACACAGCAGCCAAAGTGGGACAGCAGGAGCACCAGTGAGCAGGTAACGTGCTGCTGTGAGCCATGTCCTGGGATGGGGACGTGGCAGCTCCAGACTTGTGGTCAGCACTAAAGCACTGGAGAGAGAGGGCTGAGAACTGGGGGAGCTGCTTGAGGGCTCCCCAGATACAGCTGGGAGATGGGGATCTCATAGCAGCAGGGAAGGAAGATGCAGCAACCAACCCCTGCTCTCCTAGGGATGGGGAGCACCATTCCCACTCCTTTAAAAAGGAGGGAAGAGCAGTGAAAGGACCTGGCAGCAGCAACCACAGCTTGCAGGCAGAGCCGGATCCATCCTGTTCAGTGCACAACCTGCCAGACCGTTCTGCCACTTAACAATCCAGCCCCAGGCCAGGGCTGCCCTGCCAGATCTGACTCTGTGCTGGGAAGCTCACAGAACAAGGCGGTGTTTCCCAGCTTGGCCCCCTGTGCCACGCTCCGGGGGCCACAGGAGAATGTTTTTTCCTGACCCATCTGCAGAAAGCCACGTTTCCTGTAACTTTTTTTTGGGGGGTTTTTTTTTGCATTAGCAGCAGAGCTGAGCTCCCACAAAAACGCTCCCGTCCCGGGGAGCGGGTGCCACAACCTCAGAGCGGCCGGTCCCCCTCTCACCTTCATCGTAGTGCCGCCTGGCATCCGTGCCTGGCTTGGCCCTGGGCACGCCGTGGTACAGCCCTTCCCCAACGAAGTCGGTGTAGAACAGCATGAAGGTCATGAGGGCCATCCAGCTGCAGAGCTCGGCCACGAAGAGGCGGCGGATGACGCGGGGGATGCGGCAGTAGAGGCCGTGCAGCCGCGGCACCACCGCACAGAGGTTCCTCAGGGCCCGCAGCGCCTGCCTGGCCCGCAGCAGGCAGGACCCCCGGGACAGCTGGCACGGGCAGCAGGCAGGGGAGGGCTTGGGGGACGAGTCCTTCAGCGCCGGGACATCCAGAGCGTCCGCCTGGGCCGCCGCCTCCTCCTCGGTCACGAAGAGCGTGGCCAGCACGCAGCCGAGGAAGATGACGGCGAGCAGGCTGAAGAGGCAGGTCTCCTGCCCTCCCAGGTAGGGCGCCAGGAAGCTGCCCCCCCAGTCGATGGCTGGCAGCAGGTACCCGATGCAGCCCCCCAGGCTGATCATGAAGGCGTACATGGAGAAGGCCTGGCGGCAGTGTTCCGGCTCCTGGAAGAGGTCGGAGAGCAGGGCCTCCAGCGGGGTGAAGCACACCTGGCCGCAGAAATCCAGCAGCCCGATGCCCAGGATGAGGAAGGCGATCTCCAGGGGGCGAGGGTTGAGGGCAAACAGGCTGGCCAGGCTGCTGGCGTGGGGGATCACGAAGAGGCTCAGCAGGACCCCCAGGCAGAGCATCCAGATGAAAGGTCTCCTCCGGCCGTAGCTGCTGTGCCAGTGGTCGCTGGCAGATCCGATCAGCGGGACAAAAACCAAGCCGAGGACTGGTCCTATCCCTGCACAAGAGAAAGAGGTGGTGTTAAGAAGACAGACCTGGAGGACACTGGTTTGTACACACTGTGCAAAGCCTGGGATGCTCCAGGAACTTGGGAGGCCCCAGTGGCTCCTCCAGCAGCCCCCTCCTCCAGACACAAGGCTGCCCTGGATGTAGGAGTAGCCCTGCGACCACCAGGCACAGCCCTGCCTGTATTCACCCCTGCCCTCCAGGCTCCAAGGGGAAACAAGCACCTCAAAGAGGAGATTAAAAACTGCCTACCCAAAACCATGGTCATGAACTTCTCCTCCACGCCCACCTCCAGCAGCAGCGGTGGCACGTAGGTGATCCCTGCGGCCAGGCACACCTCCAGCCCGAAGGTCAGCGAGTTGACCAGCAGCAGCTGGGTCCTGCGGCTCTGGAAGAACATGCTGCCCCACAGATCCCCCAGCCACGCTGCCCTGACCCCTCAGTGGCACAGGGCTGTGTCCATCCAGCTGCAGCGCTCCCAGGGATGCCCCCGGAGCTTCCCTTCCCGGGCTGCTGGAGAAGGGCTGCTTCCCATTGTTAGCAAGGGTGGATGAACTGTCTCTTCCTCTTCCTCTCGGTGCGAGATGTGGCCCCAGCAGGGTCGAGTCCAGGCGTGGGCAGGCAGGGATCCCACTCCAGGCTTCCCCTGCTGCTCACATGCTGTGGGCTGTGGGGAGAGAGAGGTTGTGAGACACAGCAGGGTTGAGGGCTGAAAGCAGGAATGACAGACACCTCGTCACTGAAAGGGACAGTCCCCATCCCCACGGGCTTGCAGGCGTGGGAGGGTCTGGGACTGAGGCAGGGTTAAAGGACACGAACCACACCGGTGCCAGGTTTCTCTCCAAGGGTTTGTGGCAGGTGAGACACACACCTGTCAGACCTGGTTGGGGAAAATCCAATCCTGCCTCCGGGCTAAGGGAGGTCTAATGACCTCTCAGTGTCCTGTCCTGCCTCCTCTTAGAGCTGGCCAGTTGTTGCAGAGAGACAAAGGATTTGGGGTCCCCTCTGCCAGTGAAATCAATCAAGAGCCCCCTCTGAGGATCAGGGCTGTAGGCACTTCCCTGCAGCCACATAGGGTCATCTCCAGAGACCCACACCCCTACCTAATGAGCAGGACATCCCCTGTGCTGCCCCACAGGCTCCCAGGGAAGCACTTTCACCCAAATCCCATCTCCAGCCCCCGAGACAGGGCACAGAGAACAGATGGTGCCTCCATGGAGTTTCACAAACAAACCTGACCCACTTTAGCCTCATCTAACAGTGAATGGCAATTACCTTACTCATTAGACTGAGTCATTTATTTGCCCTGTAACGTGCTCCCTCTCTCCAGCTTCTTCAGAGGGGAGAGGCCACCAGATCAGGACAGGGGCTGAGTAGGAGGCAGCAGATGCCTCTCAGTAACCTGTTGTGAGCCTGTCACTGTGTCAGTCCCAAAGGAAAGGAATCTTCCAGGGTTACCAACACCCAGCCCACCAAACTGCTGCTTTGCTAACAGCACCTCGGGAAGGTGGTCCATGGTGATTCTGGGAAAGGCAGAAGGGGTCAGTGGGACATTAAGCTCCTTCACAAACACTGATGTAGGAGTAAAACGATCTGTTGCCCAATTCTCAGGGTTAATGTGCTCTGACTTCTCACCCTAAGGGAGAGGGACAGACCTGGCAGAGCTGGAACTGCTGCTCGTCAGAGGGCTGAGCAGAATGTGGGAGATGGTTGGATTTGATGATCTTAAAGGTTTCCTCCAACCTTGACAATTCCACAGTTTGAGGTGTGAACAGCTTGGACCAGCTGGACCACAGCCCTGCCACAGCTACACTGGACAGGGACCAAACTCCACATTATCACCCAGTGTGGTGCTAATTAGTGACCCCTGACTTCGCAGGGCATGTGTTCGACCCCCATCCCTGCACAGGTGTTAGTGGACAGATACAGATGGGACAGTTCCTGTGACTTCTTTCTTCCCCTCAGCCAGATAACCCTTCAAGGGGGATGGGGGGTGACTGGGTGAAGCTGCCAGTGTGGGGGTGAGGTTTAGGCATCCCTCCACCTCATGCACTCCAGAGCTCAGGAGCTGTTGTCAGGCTGCCAATTACACACAATAAGTACCAATTATTTTCCTTCTGGGATCCTTCACCTTCCCCCTCCACACGCTCACCGAGACCTCAACTGTCACAGAACATCCCCCCTTTTCACAACTGTGAACATTTAAGCGGCTTTGCCCAAGGTCAAATAGCAAACAGAGGGGGAACAGCACCAGTTTTTTCCTTTAATCACCAGAGGTGGCTTCAAAGGAACCCTCCGAGGCCCCAGCCATGCTGAGCATCATTTCAGTGCTCTGGGTCTGCAAGGAAGGGATGGGGGCAGCGACCACCTTGCTCAGATGTGGGTTAGACACAGGATGTCTCGGCTGGGATGGGTGCCCAGCTGGCTCACAGCCCATGGGGAGGAATTTAAGCTGCAGCCCCGCAGCTCCAGCAGCACAAGCCTGGGTGCTGTTCACCAGAGGAAGCAGAGTCACAAGGCAAAATTAACTGAGCCACCATCACTCCGGGTTAGACCTCAAAGGGAGACGCAACAGCCACTGCCTGCTCTAGTGTGGGGTCTGGAGAGCTTAAAGAGGGGGATTTATCTCAAGAGAAACCCCAAACATCAAGTAAAAGATGTCTGTCACACACACACAAAAGGATTAAAAATTCTTTTCTTCCTTCTTTCTGCTCTGACACCTCGAGCACTGAGGGGGCAGCAGGACCTGTCCATCCCGACTGCCTGAGAATTTCACTTTGGAGGCAAAGGTGGAATTTCTTATCAGTAGGTAGGGAAATACCTGTCTCTTCCCCCTTCACACCCTCAGAAGGCTTTAAGGAGAAAATAAATCCCAGTGTACCCAGAAGCAAAACCAGCCAGAGATGAGAAGTTGTCAGCAGCAACCCAGTTGTAGATACAGGTGCAGCAGATGATGAACTTCTCTGTTTAAGCTGCATTTTGTCCCAATACCTACAAATTACTTCCTAATTCTGTTCACAGAATACAGAGACGTGGATTGGCTCAGTTGGAAAGAAATGCCAGTGCAGACAGAAAAATCCCCTGAACTGTTGATCTGTAAGGACAGGTGATGGGAAAGGAAGATTTGGGAGGCTCACAGAGCCTGGACTCACCTCCTCCCCACGGTGGCAGGGGATCCCTGCAGCGCCCAGCCCGGGAACACAGCATTCAGGAAAAGCTTCTTAAGTAGTTTGCAGGCAAGCAGAGGTGGAACCGAGCTGGGACAGACACAGCTTTGGTTTCAGGGCCCTCCCTGCCTGCTGATAACAGGTGTGTTCTCAGCACCAAAGCACTCTGGGCCCCTCACACAGAGCAAACACAGCCTGCCAGCACCACCCCTGAGAACCCCCAGCTCGCTCAGTGCTGCCCCAAACCTGCCCAGAGGCAAAGCCCAGCTTTGGGCTCACTCCTGAGCCTGGCCCACAGCCCTGTGCTGGTGTTAACACTTTCCCTCGCTGATCTGGTGTTTCACAACACCCAGCAGAGATTTAGGACGTGGCATTATTATTGTTTTCTTTTTAATGCCAGCAAGATGTTCCCCACAGCTTTGCAGGTAACACAGCCTGGCTCTAAGTACCAGTCCCAGCTGCAAGGCACTTCCCTTAAGCCACTGATCTAATCCCCCTCCAGGACAATTTATCCAGTGGAATATGCGGGAGGACTGGTTTGGCTTTGGGGCTCTGGAGCTTTGCCCTGGTGTGGAAGGAGTCAGGCAAAACCCTCTCCCAGCTGGCAGCACCCTGTCCATCCCAGTGGGATGTGGCACCTCGGGGAAACCTTCCACAGTCAGATGTGGGGTGTCTGGTCCACAGGACAGCAGGCACTTCTTGCCCTTTGGCCTCAGCTCCCCCAAACTTCTACAACAGGGACAGTATTTGTCCTTCCAGTGCTGAGCACCCTGGCAAGGACAACATCCAGCCCCCAAAAGGGACACAGCAGCCTTTCTGTGGAAGGTTTCCTGCCCTCAGAAGCAGAAGGGAGCCACATGTGGGGCTTTCCCACAGCTGCTCTCCGAGCTGTCGTGCCGTGGGGACATCAGCTGCTGCTGTTTATGCTCTTGCTCTGCTCTTCCTTTCCCTCCCCAAGGAAAATTAAACATCTCCAAACCCGGGGTTTCTGGTTTGCTTTTCAGCTTGCAAACCCGACTTTCCCCTTCCTTTCTCTGCAGAGAAACAACAGATCAACTCCCAGAGGCTGGTTCACCTGGCAGCCAGGTAGGAGGGCGGGTCCGGGGGCAGGAGCAGAGCAGAGCATTGCTGGACAAAGGCAGGAGAGGGCTCCCTGCCACCCACGGGGCCAGCAGGGGCCACCAAAAAAGCACCAAAACAGAAAGGAGGTGTCCCTGCCCATGGCAGGGGGTGGAACAAGATGAGGTTTAAGGTCCCTTCCAACCCAAACCTTTTGATGGCTCTCTTATCAACTATTTTTGACCTGCCTTATACAGAAAACAAATTGCCCCATGAGAGCCTTTGCCTTAGGAAGGGAAAAGCTTCAGCTCAGCAGTTCCCAGGTGACAGGGATGGATCCTCACCTTCCCTTCCCCTGGCACGGCAGGTTTGATGCACAAACCCATTCCCAAGGGGCAGCAGAGAGAGGGGAGGGCGAAAGGTCCTGCAAAGCCACTGGGTTTCCATTCCTAACCCCACCAGCACATTTCCAACCTTCCAAGGGGCTCCTGATGAATGTTATTAATTCCCCGCTCCCTGGAAGCCCTCTGGAAGAAAAGGTGGGAGAGAGCACAAGGGGGAGTGCTCAGGGAAGGGCTGTTCATGCAGTGCCAGAGCCTTTCACAGCTATCAGTGTCCATTCAGGGCCGCTGAATGTGAAATCCACCATGGAGAATAGCTCTGGCAGGGCCGAGCGGGATGCAATGGAAAACTCACCTGACCTCTCCTGACCCTCTCCCCTTCCCCCCTCCCCTCCCAAATCTCCTTGACCCCATTCACAGTGCGGGGAGAGGGGAGTGGTCATAAAGCAGGGATGGGAGGCCGGGCATTTATTTAGTCTCTGAATTAACTCTGCGTTTCCTTTGAGCTTGGGGGCTCCATTAATACCAGCCCAGCTTAGGGGAAGAGCAGCAGAGGGTGGAAATCTCTCCAGAGGAGAACAAGGCAGACCTGGGCACCCCAGTCCACTTGAAATCCCCTCCCTCACCCCACAGGGCAGTGTCCAGCAGCCAGGATATTTTAATCCAGGACAAACGGGAGATGCTACAGGGCAGGGGCAGTTCCCAATGACAGCTCCGACTCCTGCACGATTTGGTTCAAAGGGAGATGCTTGAATTTGTCACAGCTGGGGGTTGGCTCTTTCCTGCCTCTCTGCAACCTCTTCATTGCAGCACCCACAGCAGGATCATCCTGCTCTCAGGGCTCTCTGAAAGCCAGAGCTGTTCAGACCCTTTTGTGCCCCCCGTACTCCTGAGGCACAGAGGGGTCCCTGGCCTGCTCACTGCCATCTCCATGTGGGGACTGACAGCACAGAGAGGATGCTTTCTGAGCTCTGTCCCCCTTCCCACCTCTGCTATCCCACGTGCCAACAGCTCTATGGATGCTTTATCCTCACCCCACCACACGAGCATCACACAGACAGCAGAGCAGCCTCAACTCCACCAACCTCCTGTCCCCCAAC